GTTATAGTGATTGAGTTCATTTGACCTTTACCAATACACAAGTAGCGCTGAATACATCATAATAAAACGATTCCTTTACATTTGTAGCATGCATGTCTTCTGTAGATGTGTGTTGCAGTCATGTTTTCATTCTTTTTGCAGGTATCTCTGGTTTCCCTGGTTTTGAAGGTCAGCGAGGTGATCGAGGCGATTATGGACCAGACGGATTTCCAGGTGGACCTGGTCTAAGAGGAGAGAACACCCAAGGGCCCCCTGGTCTTCCTGGTCCTCAGGGACCTGATGGCAGACCAGGTCGCAAAGGTAATGTCACACTTCCCAAATTAACTTTGAAACACCTCTTAATCAATCCTATGAGAGAGAAGAAACTTGTGAGCCCTCCAAATCATACATCAAGAAGAGCCTAACAAAGATGCTATCAATTATGATCCCTGGACCTTTCTGGTTTTTACAGCATTTGTTTCTGTTGTGAAGTGTTGAACTTACTTTGCGTGCAATTTCCAATCATTTTTGCACGAATTTTTCATGTCAGATATGAAACTTCAATCTATATGCATTCTCCATCTCCTGTCTGGCAAGTATCGAATAGCGAAATGATTGTTATGTGTAACTAAGATACGCCTTCTGAAAGAATCTAATTCATGTTATTGGATTATCCCCAAATGATATAACTAGTATTATAAGATTTTTTTTTAGAGTACTAGTGGTAGAAGTTTTTTTAGTTGTTGTAGAAGTAGTAGTAATAGTAGTAGTAAATTTAATCCTTTGACTACTTGATATTGTCTTTCCAATATTTTGTATTCAGGGACCACTGAATGTCTATAGGCAATGGGCTATGGATTGATTACAATTAAAGACAATGAATGAATGAATGAATTAATATCATTACTGTTTTAAATTGCATTATTTCAGGTCAGCCTGGATCATTAGGTGCTAAGGGTGAGCGAGGTTTCACAGGAGAGTTTGGCCTTCGTGGAGAACCAGGAGACCCAGGAGTCCCAGGAGTACCCGGCAGGAAATTCAATGGTTACAATGGCAGACCAGGAAGGGGAGGTTCTCCAGGCTCCCTAGGGCCTCGTGGTAAGTAGTCTTTAAGATGACAGGAGTTCTTTTACTTCAGGTGCAAAGGTTGTGTGGAGCCGCAAGCACATTTACTTAAATACTTTCAACACAGATTTCATGCCCTTGTGGGTCCTAACAGCTGATTTGTTCTCCCACCTTGCATTTTCCTAGTAAATATTCTATGCTGGACATCCGAGAAAGGCCACTTTTCGATCAATGATACATTTCTAATGTGGATTCTTTGAAATATTACTTGGCACGATAGCAGCAGTGGGATATTAACAAGGCCACTGGAATGCCTGGTGACTATCATTACTAACATGCCAGCAGTGACATATGAGCCAATGCCATTGAAATGACTGGTGACTCTTTCATTACTGACATGATGGCAGCGGTGGGATATGAACCCATGCCTTTGAAATGACTGGTGACTCTTTCATAACTGACATGATGGCAGCAGTGGGAAATGAACCCATGCCATAGAAATGACTGGTGACTCTTTCATAACTGACATGATGGCAGCAGTGGGATATGAACCCATGCCATAGAAATGACTGGTGACTCTTTCATAACTGACATGATGGCAGCAGTGGGATATGAACCCATGCCATAAATGACTGGTGACTCTTTCATAACTGACATCATGGCAGCAGGGGATATGAACCCATGCCTTGAAATGAGGTGACTCTTTCATAACTGACATGATGGCAGCAGTGGGATATGAACCCATGCCATAGAAATGACTGGTGACTCTTTCATAACTGACATCATGGCAGCAGTGGGATATGAACCCATGCCATTGAAATGACTGGTGACTCTTTCATTACTGACATGCTGACAGCAGCCAGATATGAACCCATGCCATTGAAAAGACTGGTGACCCTTTCATTACTGACATGATGGCAGTGGGATATGAGCCAATGCCATTGAAATGACTGGTGACTCTTTCATTACTGACATGATGGCAGCGGTGATATGAACCCATGCCATTGAAAAGACTGGTGACCCTTTCAGTACTGACATCATGGCAGCAGTGGGATATGACCCATGCCATCGAAAAGACTGGTGACTCTTTCATTACTTACATGGGAACAGCAGTGGGATATGAACCCATGCCATTGAAATGACTGGTGACTCTTTCATAACTGACATGATGGCAGCAGTGTTATATGAACCCATGCCATTGAAATGACTGGTGACGTTTTCAGTACTGACATGGTGGCAGTGGTGGGATATGAACCCATGTCATTGAAATGACTGGTGACTCTTTCATACTGACATGGTAGCAGCGGTGGGATATGAACCCATGCCATTGATATGACTGGTGGCCCTTTCAGTACTGACATGGTGGCAGCAGTAAGATATGAACCTGTGCCATTGAAATAACTGGTAACATTAGAATGCAAGAAGCACATGAAGGACATGCGTGCTATAGAGTTGTTGTTATGGAAATATGTTTTAATTTACTTACTTATTGCCAGATCCTACTGTATGTATCCATTACCTGTTGTCTTGAAGTTTCAAGATAACTGTGTCCTATGGAATATTTCCACATGATGCAGGTTTTACTACCAGAACTTAGATCAATTATACCATCTTTCTAATTCATACTTGTAGGTGAAATTGGAGATCCAGGACCAGGTGGAGTGAACGGACCACCCGGACCACCAGGTATCATTGGAGTGAGGGGAGTACCAGGAGATTTAGGAGATCTAGGACCAAGTGGTTTCCCAGGATTCCAAGGAAGACCAGGACAAAATGGTAAGACCAGGAACCTGTTTTGTCCAATTTGTTACAACTGTCATAAGCGCTATATAAAAATTAAATATATTATTATTATCTCTAATTTGTAACCTCCGGTTAATGCTACATTTCCATACCTTTATCAGTTGTTATTACCTGCATTAAGATGTGCCCTTAAGATTGCTATCTAATATTTGCTATGATTTATTATTGAAAATTTGTCAAACCAACAAATTAAGTTAGTTATATTTGCAAATGATTTACCAGTCAACTATTTGTATATTCAGAGAACATTTGGAAGAGTAGCTTCAAAGAAAAAAAAAATCACAAAAAATGTTTTCATGGCCTCATCAGAATATTACAAATCTTAAGAATAAAATAGAAAACCCAAACCCCAAAAAGCTTCATATGCATTTTGATCGTATTATTAGCTGCTTGGAAATTGACAAGATACATCTAGACTGCTTTGTGCTTTTGCTGGTTTGCTGGCTGTGAGGCCAATACAAGGATGTATTAGACAAGACATGGCAAAATATTTGACAAGTGGGTCAAGTTTCTAGAATTGTCTCAAGAATAAATCACTTATATTGTGCCTGAAAAATCCTCTGTAGGAAGAATAATTCCTTATATTTACCTTGATCATACCAGGAATGTTTGGAAACCGAGGACCAAGGGGACTTTCTGGAGGCCCTGGTGATGCAGGTTATCCTGGATTTCAAGGAATGGAAGGCAGCCGAGGATTTGATGGAAATCCAGGACCGGAGGGAAACATTGGAAACCCTGGTAAGCTTCTTTAAACCCTATCAGTGCTGAAGATAGTTGTTGTTGTTATTGTTGTTCTGACGTTGAGGTGGCGATAGTCTTCAGTCTCTAGTGTAGAACATTTGTACCATTCATTAACTTCAATTTATGATGATCAATATCATTCAAAAGTTAGCCGAGCTATTTTTACTGGAGATCAAAACTCTCACTTCATCTATTCTGGCTGTAAAACTGACATAACTGACGTTTTTCTTTAAAAGATTTCCATGATTCCAGATGAATTAATAAATAATGCACCTACTTTCAATACCAAAATGTTCCGTACATTGTAAATTGTCATGTAGTTATGATCATGATAGCAATCAGGATTTGTGTAGAACCATTTCCTTTTCCATGTACTTGTTACATTACTTTTTCATCTTCAAGCAATTTATTGATGCATCATTATCCCTCTGATTAGATTCAGGCTTGCCAACATAGAATGAGTGCACATTGTCCCATCTCTCTGTAATATACCAGTCCCTATTATCCATTTGCACACAATATACTTGAGGATTAAAGATAGAATCATTGATAATGTCCAGGTCCAAGTGGTCGAGTTGGAGAACCTGGTATCCCGGGAGCAGATGGTTTCCCTGGAGGTCCAGGTCTAGCCGGAGCAGATGGTGAAAGGGGCCAGATGGGTGGTATAGGAGACGTAGGACCCCCTGGACCTGGGGGAGAACCAGGACCTAGAGGAGACTTTGGAACTCCAGGCATACCAGTAAGTGGAACAGCATTTTGTTTCTGGACTGCATTCTACGGTCCTCCTTTATATCTTTGAATGTCTGTTCCAAGTGACTTAGTAATGCATGAAAGGTTTCCTGTAAGCCTATTATTAATGAAATACATAAAATGTTTCTGATGTGCCTGGTAGTTACTATTTTAGCTTCATCCATATCAGCACATATAGCATAAGATCTTTCCTTGTGAATGTAAATAGGCAGGGAGAGACAACTGTAGAGGCACAGTCTATGTAGGTCACTCCATTTAGATTGATGTTTTTTGGCTTGAAATTTTGTTTGCCCTAGAATATAGTAGATTGAGAAGAGACTAGGTTTTCATAAATTCCACTACATGTGCAGTTTACTTCAGGTATACCTTTACAGAGACCAATACTTGCTTATGTTTGAACAGTATATAACAGTACCTATGAATATGCATATGTGTGTGATCATAATGGTTTTGATCAACAAAGTAGTGTAAATGGAGTTAGCATAATTCCAAGCTCATTCATTGATGCTTCATTTTGCAGGGAAACTCAGGTCTAGTTGGACTGCCGGGCAGACGAGGAGAAACTGGTCCAGATGGTCCATCAGGTAGGTGCATTTGGGTCTACCGTTACTGAAGACAATTAAAACAAATGACAGCTGGTAACATATAGCTGGTACCATAAGTGATAATCACCGTGGATATGGTACCCCAAGAGAATATCACAGGAGACAGCTAGTACCATAGATACATGAAGCTTGGATGGTTTCATGACTCTTGTTGATTATCAGTAATCATTCATGTGAGTCTAGACCTCCTGTAATCTGTGGATACAGAAGCAACAGTTGGTACCCTTACCAATTCTTTCACGGAATAGCTGGTACCATGATAGATAAATGACAGTAGATAGTCGGTACCATTCCACTTTTTACAGTAAACACCTGGTACCATAAATAATTGGGATAGTTCTTGACCCACATTGATATGCTTCAATTACTCAGGTGAGACCGGACCTCTTGGAATCAAAGGATATCCAGGCAACCCAGGACGAAACGGTTTCCCAGGTCTGCGTGGAGCCAGAGGAGAAAAGGGAGATGATCCTGAAATCAGAATCCCCACAGAGGTCAATAGAGGTGAAGCAGGAGCCCCAGGAGATCCAGGACCAACAGGACTAGGAGGTAAGCCATTCTCATCCATCTCTTCTTCTTCTTCTTCATAATCTGCCTCCTTCACTCCTGAAGATTCTTTCAGATGAAAGTGTGTGTGTGTGTCACAAAGGTTGTGAAGTCTTGTCCTATTCAGGCCAGAATTCTTTAAAGATTAATGATCATGATAATAACTGTTTCTTATAAAGTGCTTTACCAGTTACAATGTTCTTGACCAAAGTGGTTACAGTATTAAGTGGTCATCTGGCATTTTTCTTTAATATAATTCTTACACTTTCTTTTACAATAAGTCATGTATACAAATACAATAAAATTATTGCTGGGACTTTTGACTTTTACAGCTTTTTAAAATGAATTAGTGGAGAAACAAATTTCACTAAAAGATTGTTATTCTTTAATTATCATTAAAGGTACTTGGGCTTAACATAATGTAGCTCATTGACAAAAATTAATTTAAAAACAAGATTTAAAATATGACTGGTATTTCTTTTTCTTTTGTTGTTGTTGCAGGGACTTGGATTAAAACTTATACAGCTCAGTGACATAAAATGGTTTAGGAATAAATTTTCACCGAATGAATTACATTTTTTCATTGCAGGGATAGTCGGAGATGTAGGTCCCCAAGGAGGAAATGGTTTCCCCGGTCGTAGAGGAATACCCGGTATAGAGGGTCCACCAGGACCTGAGGGAGAACCAGGACTACCAGGTAAAATATTTTCATCTTCATTCCAGATTGCGACTACCTATCTTGTAAAGATTTGCGATGGAAACAAATCCATTGCGACTTAACTGGTGATGGATATCAATTGTAACATTTTACACAATCACAACCCTTTATGAGATGGGCCCAGGGGTACCTAGTCAAATTTCAGGTGGGCCATGAAAGGCCAATAATTGTTTAAAATTACTTAGTTGGCCTCTGAATGTTACTGCTTATGTTTACTGTTTACATGCAATGCGCACCAGCAACAATTGCAATTTTCCATCTGCCAAATTCTGGATTACAACCCCGGATTAAACCTTCGACTGATCCTAACCCAAATCCCAAATTTAACCTTGAACCCAATTGCAAGATAAACCTAACCTTTTGTATTTGTTTTGAAATAACCCTGGTATAAATGTCACTAGTGCAAATGTCAGGTGTCCATCAACATATTGTCATCTGTTTTTTGCGAATTGTGCTTGAACGGACCAGGGGATCCAATTGTCAGATGGGCCAAAAAGGAGTTTGTGATAATTGCATCTCTACACTGTTGGGCCATCAAGGAGTCGCAGAACATTTAAAGTAAAGGGCATTTCCATACCTTTCCTCTCCTGACTAAGTTAATATCATGAAGAATTTCATCGTTTTATCTTTGATTATTGTTTCTGGTCTCAGGTCTAGTTGGATTCCGAGGACCAATTGGTGAAGATGGACCCAAAGGAGGACCAGGTCCTAATGGAGAGACAGGTAGGCTGTGTGTAATTATATATGGACTGGCGTTGAGGGAGATACCACATAATATTTCCCAAACTAGACTCATGTTGCCTCGAGTCAAAAACGAGGACAATATGGGTCTTGCGAGGGAAATATATGTGGTATCTCCCGAAAGTTAAGCCAGTCAATTCTGTTATTATTATTAGCCGAATCAGACATCTAGAGCAAATACATACATAACAATCTCAAAGAATTGAAAAAACTTTGTCAAACAAGCTAGCACTGTGCGTCTAGTGCTTGACAAGATTTTGGGTACACTGCAAACAGTGTGTACCTTTGGTGTGATTAATACGTCACAATAGAGTGCGCGCGAAGTGCGCAGGTTCTCGTACGCATAATGGATGCGCAATGAAAATGACAAAATGCGGCGCGATGGATATGAGACTTTAGTTCCTGCTTTTTTAATAAGTAAAGTTCATTGGCTTTTCATGAGAGGGTAATATGGTCTCATATTTACTGATTATCTCTTTTAGGATTACAACAAGTGTAATATGAGTTTGTGAAACCACTGCTCAGATGTCTGATACAGGTAATAATTTGATATATTTCATGTGTATGATTACGAAGATGCTATGAGGTGATGTACCCGCATATGCTTGTGGGCTCTGAAGATATACTTACTTAGTAAATGTATAATTGCATATACTGACTTGTCTCTGAAATATATCAAATATCCTGTTACATTATGAGTGTTTCCTATCATAACTTTACTAGGTGGCAGCGGTGGGATCGAACCTACTCAATCCAAAAATATTTGCTTTTAAGACACATTGCATGTGCATTCCTTGTAGATATTTAGTATCCTTTCCAAAATTGTATCAAAATTGTTTTAGTGTCACAAACCAATATTTCATGTGCCATTGCAATATCTTGGTGAAGTGTGTACAAGTATGCACAATGGCCACTTGCTCTGGATTGCCTGGAGACAACTGTATCCGTGGTCAGACTGGTACAAACCACAGTATGGGAAGACAATTATGATGATGATGATGATGGTCATGACAATGATGATGATGATGATGATGATGATGATGATGATGATGATGGTGATTATGTTAATGATGATGATGGTCATGACAATGATGATGATGATGATGGTGGTGGTGGTGGTGGTGGTGGTGGTGGTGGTGGTGTGATGATGATGATGATGATGATGATGATGGTGATGGTGATTAAGTTTATGATGATGATGGTCATGACAATGATGACGATGATTATGATGGTAATTAATGATGAATGTAACCTTTTAATTTCTGCTTGTCTTTTTCAGGTGAATCCGGATTGAAGGGCTTCCCAGGATACAACGGCATCCGTGGTCAGAAGGGTAACTCTGGACGAGGAGGCTTCCCAGGATTCCCTGGTGAACCAGGCGGAGCGGGAGAGATAGGATCCCAAGGTAATGATGTTACTCAAAACTTGCATTGTTGGATTTATTGATCGGCTCTCTGCCTCGTTTTTCGCCCAACTGAGCCCTTTTTTTGCGCACTGGCGGGTCTGCGAAAGGCATTGCGAGTGCACTGCCCTCAATCAATTACCGGTATTCAAAAATCAAAATGGCCGCCAACGACCACTATTTGTGTTTACCTTGGGTGGTTGCTATAGGCAGGTTTGACTGGATATGTAAAATATTCTTGTTGTATATTTGGACCTTTTGTGGCTAGTAAACCTTACACTAAAATTATATTTGAGAAAAAATCCATCCATTACAAAATGAATAGCAATAGATCATATGCCATGCTTGATTGAATTTTTTTCTCACTGATGATTGGACATTCAATTTTGACTGTTCATTCGTAACCTGTTTCGATTTTGTACTAAATTGTATATTGCTGATAATCCAAAGTTCTCAATTTTATTTTCAAAATTGGATTGGATTGGATTTAACCGGATTGGCTGGATTGGATTGGATTGGATGTGATCTGATATGACTTGATTTGATTTGATTTGATTTGATTTGATTTGATTTGTTTGGTCTAGGTCCTCGCGGGGCGAAAGGTTACCCTGGTCTTAAAGGAGACCGTGGAATAACAGCTCCAATAGGAAGCAGAGGAGAACCAGGAACACCAGGAACACCAGGAGGGCCAGGAGAAAGAGGTGAGTCTAGCCCACACATCATCTTGTTTGAATTCCAGCGGAAGAAAATAGCATCAAAATGGTTCCCTTCGTTGTATTTTTTGTCTTGCCTGCTTCGCAGAAGCGAGGCATATTCAGAACTTATGCCCCACCCCCATTTGAAAGCTAGTAGTCATTACACTTCACTGTGTTGTTCCTTTAGTTGAACAAAGTGGGCAAAGAGTTGAATTATCACTAATCTCTCTCTCTCTCTCTCTCTCCCATATATTACTGTCTGTCTCTCTATGTCTGTCGTTTTCTCTCTGTCTCTTTCTATCTCTGTCCATCTTTCTCTCTGTCTGTTTGTGTCTGTGTGTATCTGTCTCTCTGTTTCCCTCTCTCTCTCCATCTCTCTGTCTCTGTCTCTCCTGTACTCTCTCTCTCTCTCTACCTATCTCTACTTCTTTGTCTCTCTGTTTGTCTGTCTCTCTGTCTGTCTCTCTACAGGTTATCTAGGTAGGCCTGGATTTGAAGGTCCTAAAGGTCTACAGGGAATGAAGGGAGATCTTGGTGAGCAAGGACAACCAGGTCCCTTACCACCAGACCTTGGACCAGGCCCACAAGGAATGCAAGGAGTTCCAGGAATACCAGGCTTGAGAGGTAAAGACTGATTTGATAAAAAGCAAACTTGCGATTTTGTAAATGTTTGTAATTAAATCATATCTACATAGCTCATGACTTTTAATTCTCTCTCACTCCATCTGTTACACCTCAAGCTTGTCTTCTTTGAAAGATATCAGTGTATCTTACCAACTTAATTATCATTCAATATTATGCCGCAAATATTTGAGCAATGGCTGTAAAATCTTATGTGATTAGATTATTTTTAAATTCATTATTTGTAAACACTTATCAGTGAAAAGCAAAATTCATAAATGGACATTTTTTTTTCAATGGCAAAATAACATATTTAGATAACAAGTAACAATTTTGTTGATGTTTGGTCCAGTTAACCCGATAATTTGAATGTTTGATTGATATCTCTTGCCAGGTTACAAGGGATTTGTTGGAGACTTTGGAGTAATAGGAGTAATTGGAGAAAAAGGAACAAAGGGAAGGCCAGGAATCTTTGGACTCAAGGGTGCCCCAGGACCTCCAGGTAAGTACTAGGTTCCTCGGACATTTGCTCTGGCAATGATTGCTCTGGGCTGTATTATGTCAAAGATATACTGTAACTGCAGCCAATCAATAACGACAAGTTAACAAGGTTTTTACGGGAGTGTTCTTTTATTCTTTGGTAGGAGCGTAGCTTCATTTCTTTGACTCCTTTCTTTTAACTCTGTTCTTTTCACTCCGTGAAAACTGTGAGAAAACAAACAACAAAAAATGGGCATTAATTAAAATGCAATAATAATTACAGGTTCCTTATCCATGTAATAATTACAGGTTTCTTAATACAAATTTGGGCGTGACCCATAGGCATTATACCAAACCTTGCCATTTACTTAACCTTACTATTTCTTTGTGTTTCCTGAATAGTCTTCACACTTCTTTAAATTAATACAACTTAAGTTCTTATACACAGATTCATCAACATAAATTCTTATACATGGGCACCTGCCTCAAAGTTATGGCATAAATATCATAACTATACACATATTTCCCACAACTGAAACACTGCAAGCTTAAGTACCGACCTTCTTGCCTCCTTTTAGTCAATTAACTTGTCTGCAGCTAAGAATATGTTGCAATTAATCATCGATTTCTCATTGTTCTTCATTGATCATTGTTTGACTTTGAAACTCTGTCTATAAAAGTCTGTCGCCGAAGATGGCGCTCTAACATTTTGGTCGACTAAATCAAATACACTTACATGGCTCCTTTAAATTAGTACAACTAATTTACCATAATAAACTATTTGACATACCTGCGATAATTCTTACGTGTTCTACAGAACTAACATTTCTAACTTTGTATGTATACAAAGCACATCTAGAAGTAAATGTAATGCATCTAGCTGTACTCACTAGCTTCAATCTATAAGTTTAACTGGTTTTACAACTTATAATGTTCAATTCTAATCCTTCTATAACAGATGTTCAGAGATCAAGAATCTAAACTAATGCAAAAATTTGACTCTGTAACCAAAACACCATCCATGTATAGTAATACATGACTTCAAATTTTGTTTCAAATTAGTCTTAGCCCTTAATCTTAAAAATTATTTTATGCATGTATAATTTTTGTTAAATAACATTAACTCCTTAGTCTTGCATCAGACACATAGATATGATTTAATAAGCATCAACCTTATGTCTACAATTCGTTTTGCAAACAAATGTAATGTCACAAAGTTACAAGTCTGACTTCAGACCCTAGTAAGTTTACACTGAAATGAATAATCGTAAATATAGTCTCACTTGACTCTTAGATGTAGTTTTCATCTCAGACACAGATATACCTTTACTAACGAGGGAATAGTTTTATATTCCAAGTTGACCTTTTCAGAAAATAAAGCATGTTTAACCTTAAACATTTCAATTTAGTCTTACATCCAGACTCTAGCATTATGATCAAACCAGTATACATATACATAAAACAAAGCGGCATTTAGAAAATTGAAGGTATTCTCCCTTTCAGACTTTAGAATTTTGGTTGAAATCACATTTATCAAACACAATGTCTGCGAAAATTCAAATTAGTTTCAATTTCGGACACAATGAACAATATCAAATGATAACATAAATTAGTCTTAATTCAGACCCTTGGCTCCTTGTTATCCAATGCCAGGCTCAATCTCTAGACATGGCGTTTTGGACATAACAATTATTACTTTCGGTTAATTAAATTCAACCTCTTAGCCTTGTGGCTCCTTGTCAACCAAGTTCAACCTCTTGCCTTGTGGCTCCTTGTCAACCAAGTTCAACCCCTAGCCTTGTGGCTCCTTGTCAACCAAGTTCAACCCCCTAGCCTTGTGGCTCCTTGTCAACCAAGTTCAACCCCCTAGCCTTGTGGCTCCTTGTCAGGGAATTTCCCCTGGTCTTCATGCGCGACTAACAAGATTAGCTTATGTATTGGTCGTTCGAAATAACGTTGTTGGAAGATTCGCTTCCCGCGACTGTTTATCTTGGGGTCACCCATCACCAATTTAACCTTACGCACATGATTGTCCGAGGATGGGTAAACATCAACTACTCTGGCTAGCGTCCATTGGTTTCTTGGATTGTCGTCTTTCATTATTACGACATCACCTATACGGGTTTCACGCTGTGGGCAAGTCCATTTCTGACGTGATTGGAGACTCTGGAGAAACTCTCGCTTCCAACGCTTCCAGAATTCGTTCGCGAGATGCTGAACTCTCCTCCATCTTTTCCTAGAGTACAAGTCCTCTCGTTGGAAGTGTCCTGGAGGCGGCAACAGCACGTTGGTTTTCATCGTCAGAAGATGATTCGGTGTCAGGGGCTCAGGATGTGTAGGGTCATTCAAATTGTCGACAGTCAGAGGTCTGCTATTTACGATAGCTGCTGCTTCGTTCATGAGGGTGCGCAGGGACTCGTCATCAAGCTGCTGTCCAGCTTCATACAGCAATGTTTCTAGCACACGACGTATACTGCGTATTTGTCTTTCCCATACACCTCCCATGTGACTAGCCGAAGGGACATTGAATTTGAAGTGAATATAATCACAGTCTTTCCTCAGAAGAAATTCCTGAATCTTGTCCTGGTGTGTATTAATACCTTCTCCAAGCTCAGCTTCAGCCCCGATGAAGTTAGTGCCTCTATCTGAACGAAGCTGGCGCACAGGACCTCTAATGGATAGGAATCGTCGAAGAGCGTTGATGAAAGAGTCGGTTGTCATCGAATTTAGTGTCTCAATGTGCACAGCCCTAGAAGCCATACAACTGAAGAGGAGGCCGTACCTTTTCAGTTCCTTTCGGCCTTCTTTGATTACCCATGGACCAAACACGTCCATACAGCTGTATGTGAAGAGTGGTGTAGGCTCAACTCTGTCCTTAGGCAGGTTTGACATCTTCTGCCATTGAGATTCGCCACGTAGCCTACGACATGTGACACACTTCCTTATGAGTCTAGAGACTGTTGAGCTCCCAGATAAGACCCAGAAGCCGCTGGACCTCAGTTGGTTGATGGTCATACCTCGTCCCTGGTGAGCTGTCTGAATGTGACAATGTCGTATTATCAACTCTGTAATATGGTGGTCCTGAGGTAGAATAGCTGGATGCTTACTTTCATAGGAACCTTCAGCACAACTTAGGCGTCCACCTACTCTCAGTATCCCATCAGCGTCGATGAAAGGGTCAAGACGATGAAAGCGACTATACCCTTGCTGCTTACGCCTGTGTCTCTTGTTTGCATTCATCTCACTACCTTTACCAGACTGGTTCTGTATAGCTGTCAGTTCATTACTGAATGCATCTCTCTGTACGGTCTTCAGGATTTCACATTGTGCTTTGTTGAGTTCCTTTGTAGTAAGCTTCTGTAGCTCACCATGGAATGAAGTCTTTCCAGTGGTGGATGACTTGCTCAGACCTCGCTCTCGACATCGCCTTCTCAAATGCGCCTTCAGTCTCATGCAGTTTGCTACTGCCCTTTTAGCTCTGTGCCAAGAGGAAAATCTGTCCAAACGATCGATCTCAAAGGTACAAGGCTTAGAGTGACCATGTACAACGTTTGCATGAGCTTTCTTCACTTCTGGATCATCCAACTTCACGTCAAACTTATCACCTTGAATGAACTTCTCTGCGTTGCTTTCCCACAGGAACTTTGGGCCAGTAAACCAAAAGGAAGACAGGAGTTGGTTGACTGTAGCTCCTCGAGAAGCAATATCAGCTGGGTTATCCTGTGTACCCACATGTCTCCATTGTGAGGGGGAAGAGTGTTGTCTAATCTGATGCACACGGTTGGCAACAAAGACATGAAAGCGCTTAGAGTCGTTACTAACGTAGCCCATTACTACATTGCTGTCCGTCCAATAGAACTCTTCAGTGTCTGAGGGTACAAACTCTCTCTGAAGAAATGCACTGACTCTAACTGAAACAACTGCAGCTGTCAGCTCCAGGCGTGGTACAGTGATTGGTTTGAGAGGTACAACTCTGGCCTTCCCCATCAGGAGTGTACCATGCACCTTTCCTTCATCATTAGTCAGCCTTAGATATGTGCACTCGCCATAACCAGTAGTACTGGCATCAGAAAAATGATGAAGCTGCGTTGTCTTTACTTCTCCGAAATGCGCAGGCTTGTAGCATCTTTGTATGGAGATTGAGTCCAGATTATGCAAATCAGCTCTCCATTTCTCCCAGCTGCTTCTCTGTTCATCAGGCAGTTGATCATCCCAGTCTACTGCTTTCCTGCATAGTTCTTGCAAGATCTGTTTTCCTCGCAGTACAACTGGCGCCAGCAGACCCAATGGATCGTAGATTGACATAACTGTGGCTAAGACTCCTCTTCTCGTCAGGGGTTTGTCATGTAGAGTGAGCCTGAACTTAAGTGTGTCGGACTCAACACACCATAGAACTCCCAGAGCCTTTTCCATGGGTGAATCAACTCCCATAAGATCCGTCTTGGAGACTCCCTTCGCTCTATCAGGCTCCGGAACAGATTCCATTACTTCTCTGCTGTTAGATATGAACTTGTGTAGATGCAGTCCACTTTTCTTACACAGTTGTCTTGTTCTCGAAACTAGGTCGATAGCGTCCTTTGTAGAAGGAACGGATTTCAATCCATCGTCCACATAGAAATCCCGATGAATGAAGTCCTTCACATCATTTCCAAATTCGTCTGCGTGATCAGTAGCTGTCTGCTTCAAGCAAAAATTGGAGCAGCCTGGGGAGGAAGATGCGCCAAACAAATGGACAGTCATACGCAGCTCAATGGGTTCTCGAAGAATATCTCCGTCTTTCCACCCCAAATATCTCAAGTAGTCACGGTGGTCTTCTCTCACCTTGAATTGGTGAAACATTTCCTTTATGTCGCAACTGAATGCAATCTCGTCTCTCCTGAATCTGCAGAGTACGCCTACGAGAGCATTTGTCAGGTCTGGTCCAGTGAGAAGATAATCGTTAAGGGATTCCCCCTTGTACTGAGCACTGCAGTCGTATACGACCCGAAGTTTGTTGGGCTGTATAAGACCGTGGTGGGGAATATACCAGACTGGACTATCAGCTGTCTTGATTTCTGGTGCTAACTCTGCATACCCTTTATCTAAGAGTGCTTCCATCTTCTCTGTGTATCTACGGTGGTAGTTTGAATCTCTTTCAAACTTTCGTTTGAGATGTTGTAGTCTCTTGTCTGCCATATACCTGTTGTTTGGCAGATCTGGTTCCTTTTCCTTGAAGGGAAGTGGAGTTTCGTAATGTCCGTCTTCTGTTAAGCGAACATTATTCTTCATGATGTTCATGAATCTAACATCATTATGTGAGGAAGGTTCGCTGTTGTCTCTTAGGTCCGAGAAGTCTGCTTCCATTATCCTCAGCACCGATGAAGGACTTATCTCTTCCTTGATGGTGACGTTGTGTGAGAACATCACCTTTTCCTTGGTTGCAGTTTTGCTTTCAGTCAGCTCAGGGAGTATCTCACAGGTGATCAATCGATGACTGAACCCTATTCTGTCGTCGGGGCTGACAGCAAACTCCTTCTGACTTGATATACCCATAACACACCAACCTAGATCTGTCTTCATCCCAAAGGGTCCATCATCATCATCATCAGGAGAAAGAATTATGCTGCGAGGAATTAGAGCACGTGCACAATCATATCCGATCAGCAATCCTACCTCACAGTCTTGTAGTGGTAGCAGTTCCTCTGCAATTTCAGTCAGGTGAGGAAAGGACATAGCCACTTCAGGCACTGGAATATACTCCCTATTTGCGGGCATGATGTCTCGTGTATAGACTGCAGGGAGATCAATCGTCTTCATACTGTTGTGAGCACGAACCGTGAGTCCTTGAATTTTCTCACTAGGGATCCTCTCATCCTTCTTGGACATAGTTGAAAGAAGAAGATTCACCTTTGAACCTTGTAGATTCATAGCTTCCTTGGTAGATTCCAGCAAGAATGTGGTGTCCGACTGAGTATCCAATAATGCATATATCAGCCTTTCATCAAATCTGCCCTTCTGTGATATCCAGACTGGAACAACTGCTGAACACTTTACAGCCTGTTTCTTCAAGGTCATGTGGTTTACTGTTGTGTGAGAACTCGATGACCGGAGTTCTTCTGTTGCGTTAGAACTCTCATGATCAGACGATTGGATCTCCATTCTCACATCATCTCTCTCTTGTACTTGATTACTCCGATTCCAGTCTTCATGAAGAGAAGTGGGATGTCGCCGTTTGCAGACACTGCATGTGTCTCTCCTTCTGCATTCTCTTGATGTGTGTCCTCTTATGAGACAACCATAACACAGTCCATTGTCTCGTACGTAGGTCTTTCGCTCCTTCAAAGTCATTGAAAGGAACCTTTTACAAACTCCTAGTTGGTGGTTTTCCTTACAGAGCACACATACATACTCCTGCTTCTTTCCCTTTCTTGGATGCTGAGGGCGTTGATCTGTCGAGGCATACATGGATGTTGCGCCCGGAATCGTCCGCTGCTTGTCTACCTTCAGCTCCTTTACACTATACAAAGAGGTAATTGGGTCGCATGCGATATTGGCCTCCTCCTCAATGAAGTCACTGAACTCATGAAATGATGGGAAATTTCCATGAGTTTTCTTCCAATGAGCAACTTTCCTACCCCAACTCACAATCAGGTGGTCTGGGAGTTTAGCCAAGATCTTCCTATTTTCCCTCTCATCATTCAATTGAGCCAGATTTCCGATGGTTGTCATTGCTGTACAGCACTGTTTCACAAAGTCAGACAGCATTCGAAGACCTTGGCCATCTCTGTTGCTGATTCTGGGCCAAGAGTCCAATTTATCCCTGTAGGCGCTAGATAGGACAAAGGGATCTCCGTACCTCCTTTCTAGGGCCATCTTCGCTGCAGCATAAGAGTTGGTATCACCTAGCAATGCGTATCCTTGTACCAGTTGCAAGGGTTGGCCCTTTATGTACTTCAGAAGATAATAGAACTTATCTGCTGCGTTTATCTCTCTTCTTTCTATTAGGAGGTCGTAACTTCTTTTCCAAGTTGGATATTGGAGGGGACTTCCATCGAACTGAGTGGGCTCTGGAGGGGGCAGGTGACTTATCCTCATCTGGTCCACTAAACTCGCTGCTAACGAGTTTCCCGTTTCAATGTCCTGAGCTCTTGGGTTAATCTTCTCCATCGTAGGTGGGTCATCTTTTGGTTCGGCGTTGACCCACTCTTCACAATCATTCTGTCGTTTTGGAGAAGGTTTAGAGGAGTGTCTGGATGACGTTGATTGGGTTACAGAGCCTCCTTGTAGAACCTTCACTCTTTCGTGGGTTTGTTTCATCAGCTCTGCATGCTGCTCCTCCACCTCTTCAATCTTGTCGAAGCTGTCATCATGCAATTTTAAGGACACCTTAATCTTGCTGAGAGAATCCTGAACTACCGTTGCCTTGTCCATAGCAGCTTGGACTTCATCTCTCTGTTGCTTGATAACCAATACGAGTTCTTCATCACTTAAAGCAGCTCTCAACTTATTGGCCGCTTGACGCCAACCTCTTAATGAATAACGAAACTCCAGTTCACGTTGGTCGTTTTGGTGCTGGAGTCCAAGTTCGGTTGGCTTCGGGTCGGGTCTCGTTCGCTTAGCCTCTTCTTCCTCTGGCATCTTGTCGACAGTGAACAGTAACCAATCTTAGAGCCAGAAGTTTTCACTGTAACTGCAGCCAATCAATAACGACAAGTTAACAAGGTTTTTACGGGAGTGTTCTTTTATTCTTTGGTAGGAGCGTAGCTTCATTTCTTTGACTCCTTTCTTTTAACTCTGTTCTTTTCACTCCGTGAAAACTGTGAGAAAACAAACAACAAAAAATGGGCATTAATTAAAATGCAATAATAATTACAGGTTCCTTATCCATGTAATAATTACAGGTTTCTTAATACAAATTTGGGCGTGACCCATAGGCATTATACCAAACCTTGCCATTTACTTAACCTTACTATTTCTTTGTGTTTCCTGAATAGTCTTCACACTTCTTTAAATTAATACAACTTAAGTTCTTATACACAGATTCATCAACATAAATTCTTATACATGGGCACCTGCCTCAAAGTTATGGCATAAATATCATAACTATACACATATTTCCCACAACTGAAACACTGCAAGCTTAAGTACCGACCTTCTTGCCTCCTTTTAGTCAATTAACTTGTCTGCAGCTAAGAATATGTTGCAATTAATCATCGATTTCTCATTGTTCTTCATTGATCATTGTTTGACTTTGAAACTCTGTCTATAAAAGTCTGTCGCCGAAGATGGCGCTCTAACATTTTGGTCGACTAAATCAAATACACTTACATATACTTTATAGGGTTAGGGTTATGGTTCAGGTTTCAATTTTGGTTTAAGGTTAGGTACATTTTGTCCAAGTTTTATTTTATGAATTTGGTTAGTGTAGGAAATTGATCGCACAGTAATGCACCTAAGCAATATTTTGTCTCTTTGTGTAACAATGATTGGCTTTCACTATTTTCAAAGAAAGGATTTTGTCACTCAATATTAAATAGCAGCCAGCTATTACCATTTTGAGGAATGATCAAAATCTGTTGATTTCAATTTTATTTTATTTTATTAAAATTGACAGGTCGATCAGTCTGAATTCAATTGTGTGAAAGAAATTAAACTTCATTTCATGGTTATTCAATTCAATTCAAATTCTGCTCAACTCAATTAAACTCTATTTCATTATGGATCACATGGTTAGTGGTTTGAGTCCCGCCGAGGCTCTAATGTCCTTTGGCAAGACATTAATCTACATTTGCCACACTTGACCCAGTAGTAGTGGTCGTTATTTTACCTGACTGCTAAGAAAGCTTACGGTAAATGCTTGTTAGTAAGCAACCAGAGGACCAACGGCTTTAGGTCCTCTCCGAGAGACCTGGTAATGAGGATTAGTGCTTTACCAAAGGGCACAAGCGCATCGCCTTGGTTTCGAACCCGGATTTGCGGAATACGAGACCACTGCTCTACCAACTGAGCTATCGCGCCTAGATATTAAAGTGGGTACCTGGTAAGGATTAATTCTTTGAAATGCTGGAGCATCATGATGGCCGCCATGCTAAGATCCAGGGTAATAATTGGGGAGCACTGTGAGTGTCAAGTCCGCTACAGACATGAGCACCAAACAAGAGCCCACTTGTAGAGATATCTACATATGGTCCTTGAGACAATGCGGTAATTTCATGGTTCTTTGTTTATTAACACTCAACTGAACTGCAATCAATTCCATACACCGGAATGTACAAAGTAGCAATAGTAGTAGTAGTTTAGTAGGTAAAACAAAGTTTTCCTTCCTTGAATCCGTGTGACAAGCCTACCTACGTTTGTACAACGATCCCAGTCCATCTACGGTATCCTCAAAACAAAAAACTAAATTTGGCTTCTTATAACTTAATCCTTACACCACTATTATCACTATTATTATTATTAACATTACAGGTCAGCCTGGATTCAATGGAGTGAAAGGAGATGGAGGAGATCCTGGTCTTGCCCAGAAAGGACTGAAGGGAGAACAAGGAGAACAAGGATTTGCTGGGTTCCCAGGAAGGATTGGTTTACCAGGCATCGATGGACCGCTGGGACCTCCAGGTAAATAAACTTACACAGATCAATACCAGTGGGCATTGCATCTTTTGGGAATATCTGACTTTTTACCATAATTCTTTTAATATATACCTCTCTCTCATTTCAAACATAATCTCTGTCTTTTTGCTAATAAGTAATGGGTTACTATATGAGCAATCTGATTCCTGATTATATGGTATGTCAGATTTGGACAATGTTAATGCTTGTATGCATTTAATGTACTTACTTGTTGGCAGCTATCACATATCATATGTGATTGTTCTTGATATCGTAGTACTTGGTATATTCATGTAGAAAACTGTTTCCACAATGTGTATTTTATTTTGGATAATAATATTGCATGCATTTGAAAAAATGTTTCGCTTCCATTTAAACAAAAAACGGTGTGACTCTTATGTACCCATTGATATGTTAGAACTTCAATTTGAATGGATTTTGAAATAATATTGTATGTATTTGGGCTGTTTTCTTTCTTGTGCAGGACCCAAAGGAAGAGATGGTCTATTTGGAGACTTTGGTCCATCTGGTCTACCAGGGCGCAATGGAGAGCCAGGAATGCCAGGTTTCCCGGGAGACAGTGGAGAGTCTGGATATGGAGGTATTTAATCTGTCCTTATAGTTCCAACCTCTAGTTAAAGACGACATTTTTCTGTAGATATTGTTTCTGTTTCAAATCTGTATACCCAAGGGTTCATGTATAAACAGCCGTACTCTGATTACTTTTTATAATATAATAATGATGATATATGAACTTATGATGTACGTGTATCCAAAGTTTTCAATCAAGGCAAAGTAATGAATATGCAAGTTACAAAAAAAAACATAGTTTAACACATATCGTTTTAGATCGTTTTAGGGAAATACCGGTAGTACCATTTCCCCTCAACTTAGAGTCAGTATATTCATAGGGCAGGCATGCAATAATCGATATGACTATTGAGTAAGTATGAAACGCTTCTGCTCCTTGTCATGGTAGAAATAATTTTTTTTCATATTACTGATATCAATAATGAGCTATGTTCCAGGACTTAATAGGGTAAATGGTGTAGAAGATCAGCTTTGCAAAATAGTTAAACCTATTGCTCCTCAAACAATTCAGTATTTGTGTACTATCTTCATATCTTCAACTGATTAAATCTAACCATTGCCTTGTCCTCTTAATGATGTCCCTAATGGTCTTTTTAACAGGACGACCTGGATCACCTGGTCCTAAGGGAATGGGAGGAAACACCGGTATCCGGCCCAACCGAGGGCACTTCATCACCCGTCACAGCCAGTCCAGGAATGTACCCTCCTGTCCCGCAGGCACCGTGGAACTGTGGCGTGGATTCAGTGTTCTCTTCTCCATGGGCAATGGCCATGCTCACCATCAAGATCTAGGTACGTATCTAATATGTCTTGTACAAGCGCCATCAAGAGTTTGAGAGAACATGTATAATTATGACTTATGATGTAGATGATGTTCTTGTATTCAGTATTCTCTTCTCAATTGGTAATGGTCATGATCACCATCAAGATCTAGGTAGGTATCTTATATGTCTTGTACAATGTATAGCCATCAAGAATTTGATAAAACATGTAGAATTATAAATCATGATGAAAGTTTTGTCCTTGTATTCAGTATTCTCTTCTCCATCAGCAGGGGCCATGATCAAGATCAAGATCTAGGGAAGTGCAGAAATTCATTGATTTACCTGTATTAGTAATCTCTCTGGGTAACGTAGCTTTTTGCATTTTTCTGTGGTTTTCCAATGTGGTGTAGGAAAACAGGAATATGGCAAGAAAATAAACCTGATTGACCACTGCATAAAGCAACTATGATGGAGTAACCACTTTTCATCCTTTGATGAGAAATGTTATATCCATATACGTGTACCGGTATGTGTAAATTTCCTTCTAGGATAAGTTGGTAAGTCCAATTTCCTTCAATCCAGAGCAAATGCTACTTGTTGTTCCTTTTGATTGTGTTGCACAGGTGCGATTATACAATGATGATAACTGTTGTATGATATTGATATACTTTAAAAAATTCAAAATCTTTACAGGTGATGCTGGCTCTTGCTTGCAACGTTTCAGCACCATGCCCTTCCTCTTCTGCAACTTCAACAACGTCTGCAACTACGCCAGCCGCAATGACCGCTCCTACTGGCTGACCACCAACGAGCCCCTTCCCATGATGCCCCTGATGAACCAACAGATTGACCCTTACATCAGTCGTTGCACTGTGTGTGAGGCTCCCACTCAATCCCTTGCGATTCACAGCCAGTCACAGGAGATTCCACAGTGTCCAGGAGGGTGGAGGAGTCTATGGACAGGGTACAGTTTCACTATGGTAAGCCACAATAACAACGTCCTCTCTACCTGTACATGATGTAGCACCGTTATCCCCCAGCTTGGATGCTCGTGGTGCTTGGTCTCAAGTTGATGCGTATATTAGTAAAACTCTACTGGTCAAATTAACACGTAAACAAAATCAAAAAGTGAAAGAAAATAGTATTGTATTGCAGTGTTTAATCAATACTCATTTTACATCTTAATTTTAATAGTTAGTTCTAAAAGCTGAAGGTATCTGTCTTTGGTACTTTTTTGAAGAAGTCGCCATGTTCTATAACACATCCTCCTGCAATATTTGCTCTGTGGTCAATTACTTACTCTAACTGAATTCCTAATTTCAAACCTGAGCTCGACATTATACCTTAGGCCTACCCTAACCCTAAACATAAACCCCCTGCTTTGGCAGCCTTGAGCTTGAAACGTGCAGTTGGAAGAGGTACAGTAAACAAGGTCTCCTGGCAGTGATGATGTAACATTTATTTCTCTTCTCTGTCAACAGTACACAGCAGCTTCTGAAGGCGGTGGCCAAGGCCTTGAATCCGTCGGCTCCTGCCTGGAGAACTTCCGTGCCACGCCTTTCATCGAGTGCAATGGCAGAGGTAACTGTCACTTCTTCTCAAACGAATACAGCTTCTGGTTAACAGTCATCGACGAGGAAGACCAGTTTGCCATTCCCAGGAAACGCACTATCAAATCAGGACAGCTACAGTCGGTGGTCAGCCGCTGCAGAGTGTGTCAAAAAGTCAACTAAACTAAGCCCCATTCTTCACCAATTCAGTTAGACTAAACAAGGTTCATGGAATAGAGATTCAGAAACAACTTATATAAGTTTAGACAGAGGGTTGACAGCAGAGGAACACCATTCAATCTAAACAAGCGAAAGTAAATGCTTTGGGACCCCTGTTACATGGATGTAATAGATGGAAGCAGAGCTGCAGAGTCGGTCTGATTGATAGTCAATTGGGTTCTTGGTTAAAATGTTCAGCAACAAAATATTTTAGGTTTAGACGAAGGGTTGCAGTCAATGGAACACCATTTAGTATTAAAAAAAAGGTAAAATACAATGCTTTCAGACCCCTCTTGAGTGGAGGAAGATGATGGAAGCATAAGGATGTGTACATGACCATTCTGAATGTTGGCAAGACCTGGAGAAAGAGTTACCACCCTAACACTGAGGTGTTGCAAGGAAGATGTCCGCAACATTTGTCTAATCCAAGCTTACCCACGCCGAAAGAAAGAAAAGCGTTGCATCATTAATCAGGAGTCATAGCATAAGACCTTCATGGACATCATTTAGAGCTGTACATTGTGAATTCATCACAACATAGGATGTAATTTTTTCATTTCTTTTAATGACACAAAATTGGATTTATACTCACATATGCAAGATTGAGATGCTACATGTACTTTTTAGTTATTGTTAATTTAGGCAGGACTAAATTGATAAATCTGTATGTTCAAATGATTAGAATAAGATTTTAGATTCTTAACAAAGGATTGTCTGTTATTGACATTGGATTCAGATAAAATTACTGAATTCTGCTCTTAAATTGGGAAAATAAGGGTCAAGTTTTTTACAAGGAAATACTGCCATTTTTTATTTTGAAAGTGAACTTTAGTATGGGGTTTTATTCTAGTGCTATACATCATACTGATACCATAGATAGTCCATGTTGAACATTTTATTTAAAGGGTACTTAATATTGTACACCCAGTCAGTCTTTTCAACATCATACTTTTGTAGCATTTCACCATTGGAATGAATCTTACATATTGGTATGTATATACTCTCACTCTTCCCTCACATTTGAATATAGCAATTCCATCTGTAGATAGGAGTAACTTCGTTTTTAATTGTTTTGAAACATCACTTCTATTTTCTCATAAAATCATCTTCTCTGAGTTTGTAGTGTGTGCTATTAGCTTGTGAATTATACATGTAATTAATGTACATTGTTATAACAAGATTGCCATCCCTTTTATAAAATATCTGTGCCTTCTTTTTCTTGCTTGTTTTTTTATATCATGCATTATTGGCTGACTATTATGGAAGATAAAATTGTGTGTTAGTTGTAGATCTTTTACTGCTCGTGAGGGCAGGATACGTTCCAATGGGTGTATTTATTCTGATAAGCTCTTACTCGAACCGTGGCAAGAATTTTTAACCTCTATGACAAGACCTGTATGATAAAAATATTTCAGACTTAAAAGGGTGGGGCATTGCAAAAAACATTTAGTCAAGAGAAGACCAGTGAATTTTGATGCTCAATCTTGCCTGTGTATTGCCATAGTTACTAGTATGTATTGTCAAATCAAATGAAATCATGCATTATCAACTGTAAAGGAAACATAAAAAAAATCACTGACACAAATTGTATTATGTCTTGTAGATCATGTCTTCTTGCCAACCACAGGTTCAAATACATGTATGAATATTGTGAACTATGCAAAGTTTCATACCTGCTGCATATGAAGTGTGTATTTTTTGTAAGACAATGACAAAAATGGTGCTAACGATATTCATGTGATATGTTTTTGTACAAATGTATCCTCACAGACTAGCTGTCATCACAAATATTGGTTTATTTCTTTGCGTTTTGTTTAACTATCAAGATGAGGAACGATGCTAATTCAAAATGTGTTAGAATGAATTTTTAAGACAGTGTCTCGTGTTCTAGTGTTTTTATAGTTTAGGTATGGACATAACCTCATGTAACACCTACAGTCACAGAGGAACCTTGTATAGATTTGTGTTGCTTCTGTCGTATCCAATTATTATATGAATATATTTATGAATCATGTACAAAGAGCTAGTTAGAACAGAGTTACTACTTGCATCCACATAGTTCATTTAGTTGTTTAATTTAAAGTACAATCCAGTTTGATAGAATGTGTGAGCCTCCATATCTAGAACAAAAGCTTCATTTAATTTGGCGTCTGCCATTTTATTGCCTAACTTACATATTTTTTTGCCTCGATAGTGACCTTTCCTTGTATATCATATACATAGTTTGTTTATTTTATGAGGATAGCACATGTGTTTGTGTGATGGGATATATCAAGCAGCCAGAGAGTATGATAATCAGTTTCGCTATCTTTCATTGTGGGTTGGGCAATTTGTTCAGACATTGGTCATAATCTAAGTTATTGCCGTTTTTAACGTCTCAGTTATGATGTTGTCATTTATTGCATCTGGATACAATAAAAAGTAAATGACAAATCAAAGGTGATGTTTGATGATCTTTAAAGGTTGTGTTTTGCGTGGTGGTGTGTATAAGATTCGAGTTTGCAGTTTTGACATGTGGGTAGTCCTGAAAAGGGCATTGGGGTTTGAAAGGGGATTAAAAAGAAAAGAGAATGAGAGAGAGAAGCGTTCTTTTGGTTACTTTCCATGAAGGACTATTTGATAATGTAGTGTGAGAGGGGAAGAGAAAATGAGAGGAGTCCTGAAAAAGACTGGTGAACCATGTAATGAATGCTGAGAAAGAGAGAGAGAGAGAGAGAGAGAGAGAGGCATGACATTTCGGACAGTTTGACTGTTCATCATCAGGAGTGGCAAATGTGCGAGTCATAAAACAAGATTCGATTGGCCTTTTCATATACATATCAAGAGACAAGAGACTAAAAATTAAAAACAAAGACACATATGCATCTATGATATTAATGTAGAAATCATTCTTTTTTATATTTATACACACTCTATAACATTTCAATTTATATGTTCATCACCAAAATCAACATGTGTCTACAAATATATAGAATGCATACACAACCCAACATCTCTCTCTAGCTTACTATATCATCCTTCCTACTATTTCTACACTACCGATATCTAAAAGATAAAATTCTCATTTTCTAGCTTTGTTATGTTAAAATGCAGATCTCTCCTGTAATCCCTTGCACTGAGGGAATACAGAGTCTGCAGCAGTAATCGGATGATGATATAATTAACAAGCTTGGGGAATCCCCCAAACTATTTCTTACTATACATTTGTACAATACAACTAAAGACTTGTTTGATACATCTCTCCTTCTAAGCATGCGTTTGTTTTCAACCTCTAAACTGAAATTCTACATATCAAGCTGAAGAGGCGATTCTCTATTGGTTTCACGGATACACGATGTTGTCAACATAAATAACACATGTTGCTATTTCGATACAGATAATTAGCAGTCTAAAGTTTCAAGGGACCAAGTTAAATGATAAATTAATTTTTAATTAATCTTTATTTGAGTGATCTTCCACGATGAATATTAGGAAATTCTAAAGCCGTTTTCCAGTTTGAATAATAAATGATCAAAGGAAAAGAGCATGGCAGGTTCTTTGTGATGATGTAAAGAGTAATATGCTGCAAACTTCTGTATCTTATAACACTAGCTAAGTGGATACAAGTAGTACTTTTGTTTGTTGCAAGTTCATCTACACATTTAAAAAAACCTGCAGCACTTATTTTTTCTTCATTTTTATGGTGGATTACAACATCATATGAACGAGCCCTTGGTCCTAACCAATCTCGGCTCAATGATGGGTGACATACATTAGTGCCACAATAAAAGAGCGCCAATGCACATTACATTTCTTATTCTCAGAATAATGTATAAAGGAGTCACAAAAAATGTGCATGTTGTCTAAGGTGTAGGCTATGACACAGTACATTACACAAGACCAGTCTGTCATAAAAGTGAAGTCCATTCTTGGTGACTGACAACACCTGTTATTAGGTGAACACCCGAATGGTGTCGAATTCCCCATGAAAACCTACTACTATGTGTCTTGAATGCTTTTCTGGTTCTTGTCTAATGAAACAATGTCGTTTTTGGAAGCCAGACTCAAATAAACAGGATTTCTCTCAATTTGAAATGGCAATGAAGAATCACCAGACCAGCGACATGCATTGAAATTCAAAATTACTCACATTTACAAAGGAATATTGCATGAAAAATGACCTCAGTACATGTTGTATGTTTTTATGATGTCTTTAAAAAAAACATTGTTTACATGCAACAAAATGATGACCAACCAATTGTAAAACAGAATATTCACACATGAAAATGCATAATGACTGATTTAGTACTACATACATTCCAAGTTAGATGTACATGTACCAAAGCAATCCCTGTTAACAAAATAACATAAAAATGCATGACTTTTTTTAGTTCCACAGACCTCCCAAGTTAGATGTACATGTGCTAAAACAACCGCTGTTAACAGAATGCAATGAGTTGCGCAAGACAGTGTATGACCTGTAAAATGAAGAGGATATGATGAGCTTACGATGGCTGTTCATAAAGTGGAACCTTGTAGTAAAGATTAATGATGAAATAAAAGATTGTAAAAACAAGGTGACTTTGCTGGTCTTGTTTTATTGTTTTATAAGGACTTTGTTCTTACACAGTTGGACTGACGCTGTCGACTGTATATGTAGAAAAATGAAAACTGAAGTTGAAGAGTAGATCAAGTGATGAAGACCTGAAACTTTCATGTGCAAGAACTTCAAAAGTGGTTAAGAATTCTCACTATCACCGCTAAGGTATTCGGCCACAGAGGGCAGCATTGACCATAGGTATATGGAGAAAAGGCACTGCCAGGTCCCATACAAATACATTGGGTCGAAAACTGGAAAGTGCGATAGAAATGATAGTTTAGGAGCCAATGAAATATAAGCGACAGATTATGATGTTACCTACATAGTTTTTATAAAATCATCAGGGTAGTTCATGAAACCTGAACAATACTTTAGTAAAATCAGGAATTTGATGACACTGTTCTAATTGAAATCAGAAGAAACCTTGTATAATCGTATCCACCAGTATCGTATCTGTGCATGTTCTCACCTGCGTAGTGTCGAAGAAAGGTAGCCCTCTACTGTCTATCACCATATTGGCGGTAGGGTCTATTGCAAAAGTTTCATGCAGCAAAAGAATCGATTCCATAATTGCCACAACACTCTATTTTTTGCAATCCACAAGGACTTTTCTTTGTGAAAATCTTGAAAGTTTCATGTTTTAGACCAAATTGACCCCCTCCTCCATATACAAACGTTCTCTGATACCCTGAACATATTAATAATATCAATTAAATTACACCATGGAAGAACAGAAATATGATTATGAAACAAATCTTAAAAGAGAGAATTTGAAAGAAGATGAGATATGGGCAGAAAAGAGGAGAGGACAGTTGAAGATAAAAGAGTAGGGAAAATGAGAGAACAGAAGAGGGCAGAAACAAGCAAAAGGGAGAAACAGGGGATGTTCGAGAAAAGAGAGAAGAGTACAGAGGATGAAAGAAGAAAGAGATAACTCATGTAAAGATAAGAGAAACCCTACAGAGTATATGAACCAAAACACAATTTACTTTGCTATGCCGCCGACTTGGTGGACCTGCATCGTCTGGCTGCTTCTGGCATACGGGTATATTCATTTGGAAACAGATGGTGTTTCCAGAATTGCTGATATTAAACTGAACAATAACTGAAATTCTGATCCAAACAATACACCAGCATTGTCTAACAAAGAGGAGTGATTAATTCAAATTGATTGCAACTTGATAACAATTACAACTCTGTACTCAAGAGATTGAAGTTTGTACATTTGAGATTGATTGGAGGACTTGTGATCAATCCGGATCGGTCGCATCTCTTTGTATTAAAGACAGGGCCTGAGTTCATCAAAAATATTCAGCTCCGGCCATTAAATCATCAATGCAAATGCTCATCCGCACTGGAAAGATGGCTGAACTTACAAAGAATAGTACAGATACATTTGGATGCAAAAATCAGATAAATAAAAATCTTCCTTTCCTTTAAAACCACGGGCCGCAATGAAGGAACAAAATATTGAAAAACAATGACCGCGACCTTGGTGCATGCTCAACATGAAAAGGATGTTTTGTGTAGCAAGAACAGACACATCCTTAAAGTTAGTCCTTTAACAGTTAAATAGTGGCACACCAACAACTCTCCCAATACTGAATATAAACATGATTTACTCCTCTCTCTAGTCTCAACATCATGCAGCTTGCTTTCACACGAGAAAAGTTCAAACACTGTATAAAGCATGGCATACTTGCTCTCTATAATACACATATTCTGTAGAAAACCATAGAGGCTATGCAGCAACCTCACGCACAGTGTTCACGATGCCTTTCCGCGGACGACTTCACACAAATCTTTCCAGGTGTTTTCTACGTCTCTCGTCCCGTGCAAGGCGTCATCGTTCATCCTTCGGCGTGGTATTCAAGCGTGAAAGTAACTGTTGAGGAACTGATTGGCTGGCTGGCGGCAGGAAGGAGGAGAGATGTTTCATGCTGTCACACTACCGTACTTTTACAGGGTATTGACGGCTTAACATGCTCTACAAATGCATCTATTAGAACTGGCCAAGCACCTAAAAAACAAATGAAGAGAGGCAAAACAATCATAATTTTGGGGCAAAAAATGCATCAAAGATTTTAATAATAATTTCAAGATTAAAGAATAACTCAAAGTAATGGAGGTGATAGAACACCAATGATAACTATATTTTAATAAGGCCTTCTATCCCAAACTTCAAAGAGTTGATTGGATTAATTAATCTATTTCTCAATTCTGCATTTCAACAGTTATTTACATGTGCATGTAAATCATGTGGTCTTGAAATAAGTGATCTTTCATCTGGGGGAGAGTAAAATAATTAAATTTTTCATTAACTGTATACATGACAGAAGAAGGACAAAATTTAAGCAAAACAGTATCTTAGCTACGGTATTTAAGAAATAATTTTGATATCTTGTTATAACATTTTGTCCTTACTTTGTTCTGTTCAATTGGAAAGACTATTTAAGAAGTAGATATATGTATTCTTCTTTCACACAAAGGAAAAACAGCCCGCTTGCAACAAAAGGGTAGGGCCCTTCTTCTTCCCGATTATTAAATCATTCATAAATTAGTGGACTTAAAATGTTTCATGTTTCATATATTGTCCTTTTTACCCCAAAATTGCCTGAAACTTACCTTCTTCATCGTAGTTGCTCATGTCATCAGCAATCATGTTACTGAAATCAAGCAGGAGGTTCCACGTATCCCTTGGTATTGACTTTTTGTGATGCTCCTAATAAAAATTAAAAAAATATTTCAAAAATTAGGAAACTGCTCGCAACATGCCTGGTGTTTTCTTACTCAAAATTCTAAAATTGCACATCTCTATATTCTATATTTTGGTGTAGAATTATAAATTAAATTTGTTGTTGCAACATGACAATAGCCATTAGAGGGATGGACAATTGCCATTAAACCAACAACAATAACGACATACATCATATGAATAGCATTGCTTTTAAATTAGAGTAAAAGATATAATTGATGCTGATGGATTATTAAGTAATATATAATTTGCATATATGGTTTTATACATATTTTCCATCTAATAACCCGATAGGGTGGACGGAACCCTCTTATTGTCATGTTTACCCTATAATAAAAGATGACCTATGTAAATGTATTTTCAAAACTCCAGAACATATGCCTCTATTGATGAAACCTCTTCATAGAGACCACTCAAGGGAGACTAGAGAAGTTGTCTTTATAATAACATACAGAGTGCTTCAGTATACATTTAAGTGGCAAACATAATTCAAGGGAAATCGTAAAGGTGGTATTTTTATATACCGGTAAGTGGGTGCCCACGCATATTTCACTGTAGCTTTTTGTTTTTGTTCAGGAAGTCTGTTTTTGATATATTGTCAATTTTGTTAGGAAATATAAATATTTTAATGAACCAAGTACTTCCCTATATCAAACCTTGAAAGATTTAGATCAGGAAATACTTAGAGACATTGCACCCTGCGTCATCTTTCCATACCAGCACATATCGCAGTGCACAAGAATGACTTCACAGAGTTTTAATTGTTAAGCTAGATAAGCTACATGTATTGTCTGTTACTTCTCTGATTAGACACTACTGATTAACCCACTGTCTCTCGGAGCCAGGTGGTCCATGTATTAAGCCTATGGGAGTTAGGGAATTCAGTAGTCAAAAGGTTAACATCTATCTATTTTGTATAGGATGGGGGAAGAGGTACTGGACCAAATTAGAAACCTATATAGAGGCGATGCAAAGAAGCCTATAATGGACAGGCGGACTTAAGTTCTATTATTAAGAAATTGGAAGACTACACACTAACTGCCTGTAAAGCAACCATAACTATGAATCTGCTAAAGTCACTGATATTGTAAGCAAAAAATAACTTGTTTAGCACTAGCTAAACTGCTACTAGGTACATACACATGTACCTGTTGTTAAAAGACTATACATACATTTTGTGATTCTATTTGCAACATTTTTAATGATTCAATACAAACTGGGCATTTTCTTGACCAAATGAAAATAGCCAAGGTTATTCCAATTCATAAAAGTCGTTCTCCAATTACCGCCCTATATCTGTTCTTCCCTCGTTTTCGAAAATTCTAGAGAGATGTGTATATAATCATATTTATTGAGAAGCATAATATTTATTTTTTGATCAATATGGCTTTAGAGCTTCACGCTCATCATCATCTGCTTTGATTCAGTTTCTCCACAATATTTATCTGGCCTTTAATAACAAGGAAATCACAGTGAGCTTATTTTTAGATTTATTTAAAGCTTTCGACTGCTTGAACCATAAAGTACCATTAAGGAAATTATCTATGTATGGTATTAGAGGTATCACATTAGACTGGCTAAAAATTATTTACAGTATCAAAAACAATTTGCAGGTTATAATTTTATCTCTTTTGAATATCAATCTACTTGGCATTGGGTATCCCCTGGCCTCCTTTCTTGCTCCTCTTTCATTTTTGTTATATATTGACAATATTCGCTATACTTCTGATAAATGAAACTTCATTTTGTTTGCTGATGATACTACTATATCAATGGCTTATAAAAAATGTGTCTTCTCTTGTTGATGAAATGAATGTTGAACTTGTTAAAGTACAAGCATGGTTTAAACTTAATAGGCTTGTTCTGAATACATCAAAGTCAAATATGATGATTTTTACCTAACAAGTAACGTAATATTGATGTTACCAGTGCAAAATATTTATGAATGATAATGAAATTAAGCAGGTGCATGTTACTTAATACCGTGTAGTGTAAGTTGATGAAAAGTTTTCAAGGAGTGAACATGTTGATGTAGTTAGCTTTAAGGTTTCGAGATGTATTGGAGTTTTAAAAAGATCACATTTTGTAGGGTTCCTTTAGGACACATTTTAATTAGAACAATGTTTCTCATTGTAACATCATTTTGATATAACAATAAAATGTAGTGTTTTTATCGACAGGTACTCTTCAATAGCTTCTTGGAGCTGCTGAAAGGTATTATCATTTCAAGGTTCAAGGTTCAAGGTTGCTAACTGTACTTACTCTGAGAAATTGCGTCCATTCATCTAAGAACTTGAATCTTCCTTGAAGTACTATATTCCAATATGCAATTGCCATTTCAAGATCTAGATAACAAATGGATAGAAAGAGAAAGGTCCAATGGCTTCTATTGGTAAATCAATAATGATAAATCAAAATCGATTTTAGCAACTGTCCACCAAAAAAAGTACATTCTAATCTCAATTGCATTAACTTCATCACATAGGTTATCTTATATGAGGTTACACTGTAATAAAACAAAACATTTATGAAATGGTGTAAGTATAAAAATGGTGCTTGATGGCCGGAATGCACTTCAAGAAATGGAGACTGCGCACTGTATTGATTGTTTGTAAATGAATCCAACTGAATCTCATAATAGGTACTTCATAAAATGATGTCACCAATCCTTTAATACTCGTCTGGTTGAGAGCAGACATTCGACCAAGGCGTAACAAGTCATGAGCGCTTTCATGAATGGTCAGTTCGTTGTCTACATCTAACTTTGAAAGTTGAGATTTTTATGAAATATGGAATGCAGGCACTGGTAATTTATAGTATGACAAAGATATTCATCACTATTTTAGAAAACAAATAATAAAGATCATCAGATCATATGTTCAGGCATCAATATATTTATCCACCCTCAGAACTTTTGAAATAGTCCCACGCCCCTTGGCTATTGCATTCTGTGTCTATAGTGTTCAAAAGAAACAGCTTGTGTGGATAATTCTTACTATTAAAGCACCCTCATTTAAATATGCCACAGTGTATGAAAAAAGAAAGTAAAATGATTATGATTTATATCTATGAAAGTCTTACCTAAACTCTTCTGGCCAGGATTCTTAGCAAAGTTAAATGTGAACTGGTAGAAATCTTTGAACTTAGACGTATCCCTGAGTTCATTATCCAACGTAGGTATTTTTAGTCTCAGCGTCTGTATTGAGTCACACCTGATGTAAAAACAAAATATAAAATATACAGTAGGCTTGCGGGTGAGAGAGAGAGAGAGAGAGGGTTGAGGAGTCCTGAAAATATAACATGTATTACAAAGTATCATTATGGAAAAATAACCATGTATTAACCTTGTATTCATGCAGTCCATTCTGGCTTTATATCAAAAAGAATAACCATAAACAGTAGGCCAAGATTTTCTCATGGTTTTCTATAGTCAAATATATAGCTAATGTTTGGGGTTTCAATTTGGCTTGTGGCAAAGGTAAGGGTTAGGTTTGTGGTATCTAGTCCAGGGGTGATGAATATTTTCTACATGTTGGAAATTAAATAATTTTAATGCTATCTTGGTTCTGCTCTGTATTTTTAATCAAAGTTAATTACAGACAGAAAAGTGGGTTTGAACGCTTATAATAAAATTAAGTAATAACAAATAACATTATTTGGACCAGCAAAATGTAAACAATCGGATTCCACAAAAAATAATTTTCAAAATTCATATAAAAAAACAGTCAAGAAGCGCATCAACTGCTCAAAGCCATGGGGGTTAAGTTACACCTTCTACACAGGCTTAATGCCGTTCTGGCTCCCTCATCAGGGAAAAACCTCTACAACCACCGAAGAAATCATAGCATTTATTGAATCTCACCCTAACTCTGTCATGCCATCAGTGAATTCTTTACGCGTGAATTCACACTGGGTGGCTGCTTTGAACTTCCATGCGATGATGAGGACAGGTCTGCTGGCAGGATCGAGGTTCAGGTCCTCGCAGAACTTAGCTACCCCCTCCGCTAGGATCTTATCATCCTCTTGTGGATCTGAAATAAATCAATACATGATTGAATGAGATAATAATGACATTAACAGGGATGAACACTTACAGGCACCCAGGACACATGGGGGCGCACACAATCTATGTCCGCACCCCCAACATCTTGAAAATTAGTATATACAGACTGTAAAAAGTTCCAATCCCGTCCTCCTTCCAAAAATGTAAGTGTGGAGCCCTGCATCAAAAAAATTAAAAATAATAACAAATACTAATAGTAATAGTCACACTAATGAGAAGGATACTACAGATGTATTACTAATGGTAATAGCTCCAATGAGGATGGCAACACCGAAAGCAACAGCAGGGTAGCCTCACTAGCATTAGCCCATTAACTACTGAATTATTTGATTCCCATACAGGAGCTACCCGGTTCCAGTACTACAGTAGGCAATGGATTAATATTGCTTTCCTTGAAGGCCATTGCTGCAATTCTCGCTACCCCAAATAGCGATTCTGCCGAGATCCGGGGAAAATCCTGAAAACGCGCATTGCATTATGGGATAGCTTTTCGACATTACAGCTTCCTGTGCAGGCGCGCGATAGCGCAAACGTAAAACGCCGTCGCCACACAACGTGTATGCACCGAATATGTCGTCTGCTCGGTCTTGTTTTTTTTTTCGCAAATATTTCAACGTTTATTTGAACATTTCATTCGTTGTTTTTTGCGTCTTTTGACAACAGTGACGATGGTTTTCTTTTGTGAGGCTGCACAGTGCTGGGCTCATGATTCCAAGCATAAGAACCCTGAAAAATGGGGGTGGATGAAGGCCGTGACTTGGGATGGGACTCTATACCGGAACTTGTAGTGACGACCCGAGAGAGTGAAAATTACCTCGTCTCGCGAATTTCGAGATTTTCGTACCTATTTAGGGTAGCGAGAATTATATTATTTACCCTGGTTTTAGTTAAACTACCCAGGGTAATAGTATATTTGTAAAGCGCTTAGAGACATTTATATTAAACGCTACTGGTATATAAAAATTAAATATTATTTTATTATTTATTAAGTGTTCAAGTATTATTTTGTGGACCTTCTTTCTCCTGGGAGCGCAATTACTTCACCCACCTGGGTAGAGAGCATCAAATCATGTTGGTGAAATGTTATGTTTAAGGAAATTAGTGCAATGGCAGGTATTTAATTCCTGCACTGAATATATATGCAAAACCATGAGCTTCATAGTCTGGTGACTTCTCATCTAGGCCATGACAAATACGTAGTTTAAACTTCTAGCAACCTTTAAGATGTACATGTAGCAGGCAAGCTTTCGTCCACTCCTTTGTGAACTTATTAAAAATGAACGATTTCTCTGCACAGTTTCTTGCAGCCTGCTGCCTAGAGGTCATTTGGGGTCAAAGACAGGTGACAAGGATGATCCAGAATCCCCATTTAGTTCAGGATTATCAACGGATTAAGCCTCCTAATCCAGAGGAATTCATTCACCTATCTTCCTTCACGAGGCTTAAGATTCAAGTCAGTGATATGAGCTGACTCGTCTCCACATTATGTTCAGTGTTAAGGGCGTGTTGTATACACTACTCAAGTTGGGTTATCCAATCTGAGGGCTCTCTTTTCTGTTTCCTGGTATAGGTTTGCAGGGCTCAAATTTTATGCTAAAACAAGGGTGACTGATGCTCCTATAGAATTTAGAATGACACTTCCATTTCAAACAATACACCAGTTTACAGTTGTGTGCGCCATTTTAAACAAAGCCAATGACCAAGAGGTCATGTATTTATGTGTAAATTAGGATTGCGCCCATGCAAATTTTGATAATATCACTGCCCTACGCGCTGCCGTTGTGCGCGCACATCATCATTTGCATGGGCGCAATCTTAATTTACGCATAAATACCACTGGTCAAAGGTTATTGGCCCCGCTTCCGGGGCCAATGACCCGAGGTCAACTGTCTGCGCATGCGCACTGATACAACTGTAAACTGGTGTATTATTCCACCTCTTCTTTTATGAAATACAACTAACTCTGCAAAATCTGTATCTGTAGCTGTTGGGACCCCCTAAAGTAGTTTGACTAATGCAAAATTTGTAAACAGCTACAGCACATATTTTGCATAGTTAATGTCAAAAGTAAACCCAAGAGGCTGCACAATACAAGTGCATACCGACGGTTGGTTTCGAGCAGGGGCGTGCCTGCGTGAAGTTAGCGACCGTAATGATGATGATCATCATCATAACGTGAATTACTTGCATGAATTCAATGAGGATCTGAGATTACAGTCGCTAACTTCACGCATCTCGCTGTCAGTATGCACTTGTGTTGTGCAGCGGTTTGCCGTGAAAACTGTTAGAAAATACTTTAAAAATTAAAACACAAAACAGGTAGGAATCAGGATTAGGAAAGATAACGACTTTTAAATCATGACCAATATTTCAACAATTGATGAAGATTTAGTTGATTTTTGGCATGTTATATAGATCTAGTAGGATATCTCCACACCGGAGTCACAGGTCCAAAGTATGGTCACAGTTCTGAACTAGCGCTGAATATTGTTGCTCAATAACGACATGTCATAACTGGACAGTGGACAATATTCATAGTCGTGCTCGTCATGTTTGTTTGATTTTCTTATTATTTATTACATTTTTTTACAGACAATAGACAAGACAAGGTCAATAATTACCTTTATATCTTTTGTACAGTTGTTCAAGAGTCTTTTTGTCAACTGCTGCTTTGGATTCTCTATAGTATACATCTGGCTTCTGGAAATAATTATCTGAAGCTATATCAAGCCTCCAGTCGTGTTGTTGTAAACAGTAAATGGCAGTCTTCTCTCCCGTGTTTGTGAACGCAATGAACTGCCGAACTTTCTCTCTCTGCGACGACTTTAATTTATGCTGTAAAAGAGACAAATTAGAGAGATTTATCAGTTGTAATATTAAACAAGGATTCTAAAAACATGAAATACTTCATATAAATGATATAGGAATAAGGAAAGTACATCTACTTACCATTTCGGAGGTTTTAATTGACAATCAATTTGACATTACTCACGATGAGTGCCCCGCGATCACGTAGTTTCTTCTAGAGCAGTTGGTTCTTACATGCAATTCATTTTGTGCATGTTGCAATGTAGACGTATCCTGGACAATTCGTCCAGCGATGTATCGGCCGTATAACATAGGGCCCATTTCTATGTCGACCGAAACAGGGGTAGGGGGCAAAAGACTTCACAAGACAATTGATAACTTTGCGATCAATCTATCAGCTTGTAGGTGCTCTCAAATGCAGTGTTCACCCTCCCAATATCCAAAATATAATGTTTACTAATCTTTTCAAAGGAGGGGTGAAATCTTTTCCAGTCCATTTTGCAAGACAAAACTCACGATATCAATTATTTTACAGGAAAGATTTCTTGTGCTTTAAAATACAGTTTCAGCATTCAAATTCAATTTTATTCAATTCAATTTTATTTCTGTTTCCAACAACTTACATTACAAATCATATTGGAAACTAAGGGGTCCACTAAAAATCAAAGCTTGTATAATAGTAAGTAGGCTAAAAGTAAGGGATAGTATATATTTGAATTAACGAAACGCTTTCATCGCACATTACCAAGTTACATACATCTGTATAAATCCTGTCTTCAAGAAAGTAGATGGTTTTTGCCCGCGTTAATTTACAAGAAAACAATTTTGTAGTATTATATTGAATTAATGACTATCTTTGTTAGTACTATAAAAATGCTAAACTTCTACATGCAATAATCTGACTTTGTTGTGACCCTATATGGCCCCCTCTCAAAATAAAAGGAAAAATAGAAACCGGTAATAGAAATGTGAAACTGGATTTTGATGTATCTCAGAATCTCAGAATGGTGTCCAGACATCGCTTATACCTCAGTCACACCTTTGCGTATGTTGCTGCGTATTGCTGCGCTATGCGGGGTATATCAATACGCAGCCGTGCCCAGCAATACGCAGCAATTTTGAAGGTAGCAGTCACACTATTGCGTATCTAGCTCGTAGGTAGCTCGTATGATGATCGTACAAAGACTGCCTACGGTTGCCTACGGTTGCCTATGACCACGCTATAGCTCGCTGTTGCTCATAGCAGTACGATTCAATACGCAGCTTGCTCGCCATGTTGCGTATGTAGCTCGATCTTTGCTCGTTTGCTGCTCGCTAGCCGCTCGCACAAGTTGGTCTTGTTGCGTGTTCGCTCGCTTTAGCTCGTCTGTTGTTCGTACTGATGCGTGCCAGCTCGCGCTACAGCGTACCAGCTCGCTCGGGCTGCGGCATATGTATAGATACTAGTTATTTTGCGGGACTGGGCATAAACATCTTAGCTTCTGAAGATTCTACATCTACAAGAAAAATAAATCTGATGACAACAATGGCCTTGCAGCAGAGCTCTGCTTTGCAAAAGCTTAAGCTTTTTGTTCAGTTGGAGGAAGAAGAGGCGAATAAAGATTATGAGCAAGGGAAGCTGCTGCTTCAGCTGCATCAACGAAGTATCCCCGGAGTTGTTGGGTGCGGTCCTGGATCTGCCGGAGGAAGGACCAGGGACAATTTGACCAACTGATGAGGGAGCTGGAAGACGAGGACCAAGAGCCACTCACTAACTTTTTGAGAGTAACCCTAAAATGTTAGAGCAGAGACTACATGAAAGACTGGAGAAGCAGGACACCTTCTTCAGGCAAGCTTTCGGCATTCTTGCCAACCGATTTCAGTGCCTGCTGACCCCTCTCCGACAAACCCCTTCAACCGTCAGGACCATATGGTACAGGCATGTGTATGCCTGCACAACTTGATGAGAACCCACTACCCTTGCATCCAGAATTCAGCCATGGACGGGGAGGACGCCGTGTATGCCCGGTTCATGGCGAGGAGAACAGACCCTATAGTCAGTCTTAGGCAGCCGGCTACAGGTCGCTCGGCTACTCAGGCAGGTCATGACAGGTCCAAAGGAATTATATAAATGCCTACTACAACAGCCCTCCCAGGACCAAAATCCAGTTGAAACCAATTGGAGCAAAACCAATTGAAACCAGTTGCCAACTGGTTTCAATAGGGAAATTGGAACAACTGGTTCCAATTGAAACCAGTTGCTAACTGGTTCCAATTGAAACCAGTTGAAACCAATTGCCAACTGGTTCCAATTGAAACCAGTTGAGACCAATTGCCAACTGGTTCCAGTTGCCTTATTGGTTTCAACTGGAACCAGTTGTTCCAATTTCCCTATTGAAACCAGTTGGCTTCAATTGGTTTCAACTGGTTTCAATTGGTTTCAATTGGATCCAATTGAAACTTACAGTTGGCATAAACTTAATTAGTTATAAGTTAATTAGCTCTTGCACTAATTATCGCTCATGTCAACACAGAAGTATTGTTATATGTGTCTACATTAAGTACAATGTAAAGGGCATTATAATATGCAGATCATATAATATACATAACAAGGAAGGCATTGGTTATATATGTTTGTATTTGATGTATTTTGTACATGGTTAGTGTTTTACTAATCAACTTTTAATCTGTGTAATTAAACAAATATGTTACTAATGAACATGCTCATCATTGCTAATTATTCTTTATATTTATCTAAAACAAATGCATTACTTGCAAATAAAAATTAATCAATAAATACATTGTAAATCAACATAAATTACATAAAACATTGATCTGCACACAAGCAGATAATATGCAAATTAACTGGTTTCAATTGGATCCAGTTGGGTAACTGGAAATATTTTCCAATTGGAACCAGTTGGGTAACTGGAAATGACTTCTAACTGGAACCAATTGGGTAACTGGAAATGAATTCTAACTGGAACCAGTTGGGTAACTGGAAATGAGTTCTAACTGGAAATGAATTCTAACTGGAACCAGTTGGGTAACTGAAAATGAATGCTATAACTGGAACCAGTTGGGTAACTGTAAATGAATTCTAACTGGAACCAATTGGGTAACTGGAAATGAATTCTAACTGGAACCAGTTGGGAAACTGGAAATGAATTCTAACTGGAACCAGTTGGGTAACTGGAAATGAGTTCTAACTGGAAATGAATTCTAACTGGAACCAATTGGGTAACTGGACATGAATTCTAACTGGAACCAGTTGGGTAACTGGAAATGAATTCTAACTGGAACCAGTTGGGTAACTGGAAATGAATTATAACTGGAACCAATTGGGTAACTGGAAATGAATTTTAACTGGAACCAGTTGGGTAACTGGAAATGAATTCTAACTGGAACCAGTTGGGTAACTGGAAATGACTTCTAACTGGAAATTAATGTTAACTGGAACCAGTTGGGTAACTGGAAATGAATTCTAACTGGAACCAATTGAGTGACAGGAAAATCATCTTATTGTTTCCAGTTGAACTTCTAACTGGAACCAGTTGGGTAACTGGAAATGACTTCTAACTGGAACCAATTGAGTAACTGGAAAAATTATCTTACTGGTTCCAGTTGCACTTCTTATTGGTTTGAACTGGAAATGAGTACCCATTTCCAGTTCGGCAATTGGTTTCAACTGGAAATTTTCTATTCCAATTGAAACCAATTGAAACCAATTGAAACCAATTGAAACCAGTTGAAACCAATTGAAACCAGTTGGAGATTTCAACTGGTTTCAATTGGATTTTGGTCCTGGGCTGCTAGTTCTGTTCCCTGGCAGGAGTCAAAGATTTAAATGTTGGAGTCATGCAGGCCAGATGCTCTGGATATCACCAGCCCAAACCCTCGGCATTGACGACATTACCTGACCTTCAGCAACCGTTTCCTCACAGTTTAATTTGTCAGTTATCACAGTTCTCGCGAAGAATAAAATCTCAGTTAAAACATTATTCCTAAGAGTTCAACAAAAAGACTGTTGCAATGACTGGACCAATGACTGGCTTTCTGCATCTTCTTGTGTATCTTCTTCAAATGTTGACTGCGGTATGATTCCAACCCGTGAGGCGCCCCGCCCCGATATGCAGCGCATAGGCAACTAATCGCAGTGATAGCGAGCTAAAGCGAGCGGCAACCAGCGACTTCGAGCTAAAGCGAGCGGCGTACGAGCTAGACACGCAGCGCAGCGAGCGGCAATCGCAAGGGTTCTTGCTGCTGCGAGCGGTGTGCGAGCAACAGCGCAACAATACGCGCAAGCATGCGTACGACAACGAGCTAAAGCGAGGTAAATCGTGCCGGAAACGTAGCTATAGGCAGTGACACGTGCTCCGAAAAAAGAGGTGCGTTTCATTGCGTATACCTGCGCTAAGCCACTCGCTGTCGCTCGCATTCACTGGTTGCCACTCGTATCCGATCGTATGTGATTTGACCTTGCGTTTGCTTGCGATAGTTTAGAAAAATTTAAAACAAGCGAGCGAGCAACGCAGGCATTTGCGCTAGTCTGCGTATTGAGTACGTAGGGAGCACGTTTTATTGCGCTTTATTGGGAATGACTGCCTTTGCCTGCGTTCGGGTAATACGCAGCAATACGCAAGCCAAATACGCAAAGGTGTGACTGAGGCATTAGAAGCACTAACGTCTTGAGGTCTTTACGATATCATAAAATAGCAGAGAAGTGCAGAGGACAGAGGACATATTTTTTTTTGTTTTTTGTCCCGAAATTAGAAAAATTGACCGATCGACATTCCGTTCCGTTGGGGGGGGGGGGGGGTGGTTAGCTCTTTAAGGTCATCCATTTGGGATTTTTTTTAAAATCATAACTCAAAGGGGGAGGGGGGTTCCCAAAAACATACACATAACAAAAACTGAGGGGGAGGGGTTAACCCCAACCACCCCCCCCCCCCCCCCCCTGCGTACGCGCCTGCTCGAAACCAACTTTATTTTGATAAAAAATTGCTATAGGTCCACCTTAAACTATATGAGAAAAAATAACAATTTAAAATGACACAAAAATTGTAAATATTAATTGGCGTATATATACGTAATATTGTGCCCCTCACCGCCCATATTTATCTATACTTAACTGTACAAGCGAGGAAGCAATAGGCCTGTTTACTAATGTATTCACGGACCTTTAAATTTGCACACGGTTGTAAGCTCTGGCAAACAAACCGAGCGCAGTGTCGACTGCTACGGCCCTGCTACACACACTTTGTATACGGCGATGTGGGGAATGCGAGGAAAAAAAGGCTGATCATCGTCCTAATAAACTTCGTTTAAAACTGTTTGTTTTCCAACCTTAGGGTATATAATTAAAATAAATATAGTTTTTCTCAGTTGTACATGACAAATCTTCGATTTTATTTTCCGAAATCCGACGAAATATCGCAAAAATGGGAGGTAAGCATTGCTGTTACGGCACGTGTAACAGCGATTCACGGTACGCAGACAGACCCCATATGAATGGTGTGTTTTTCATCCCGTTCCCCAAACCAAAGACGAACCTGGAGAAGTGTAAAATATGGATTAAGAATAGACGATAGTCCTCAAACGATTTATATGCTTTGAGTTTCTTTCTGTCGTAGTCAGTTCTATTTACTATCAGGTAGTTGAAAATGTCGTATAATCCGAAATCTGGTATACTTTCAAAGTTCTCGGTGTAGCCGGTGATTTTCATTGGGTCGTCGAACGAGCACCCCGCACGCTCCAACTTCTCCCGCAGCGACCGTGCGGAGTCGAAGCTCGCAAGGTCCGGGTCTTGGGGCAAAGCGATATCGGCCACAGCAGTCGCAAGTTGAACTAGTTTCTGTTTGTTGTACCCTGATGTCGTAACTCCTCTCTTTCTTAAATAATCGGTGAGCTCCTTCACTGTCCACTGCGAAAACGGCTTGCTGGAACTACAACTCGATGTCGAAGGCGATGCCATTGTAGAAATTAGGGTGAAAAAACGTCGCGGTCGCTAGCAATGGCTTTGTATGTGTATAGCGTAGCGGGCATGGAAAAACAATGTGGCGACCGTGCCGCACCACGCAAAGCTTGCCCTACGTAGTAACAATCGCTAGGGTGCGAGGGATTATGACGTCACTCGCATATCATTAGTAAACAGGCCTATTAGCAAACGAGCGGCAGATTTTGGCATTTGTATTTTCTCAAACTCACAATTTCTTGTGCATCTACCTATCTGATGCTGGGTAGGAAAATTTGCAAGGGGGTACTGCAAAAATAGGCGGAGGGGAGAGGGGAGGACATTTTGACTTAATAAACATTTTTATTTGTTATTCTATTTTATTAAAAAGAGTATTTACATTATATTCTAGGTTCTGGAAAGAAATTTACTTTGTTCAAAGCACGTATGTTCTGTCTCATGATAATAATATTTCTGAATATATTCTAATTTGTTTGTGTATTTGAACCCGCTCAAGAAAAGCTCAATTCGAATATTACAAAACCCATATTCTTTCAAGAATGTGGATCCCCCTAATTGATGGCAGTGCTCTCTCTCTCTCTCTCTCTCTCTCTCTTTCTCTCTCTCTCTCTCTCTCTCTGCCCCCTAATGTCACCTTTTAAATTGTTTAGATGGAGATCCAATTTCAGATCTATATACGCCTAAGATGAAGGTCTAGGATGCATAGTGATAAAGGAATGCAAAGTTTATTTCTAACATTGCTATTCGGAAATATCAATAAATGATATAAGAAGAACAGGGGAAATGAAAACTGTGCTAATTGGGGGGGGGGGGGGGCTTTGTGATAATATTGAGAAGAGATGGATAATATTAAGAAGAGATGGGCAAAAGGAATGTCCCCCTTCCCTTGCCAAAAATACATTTTCTTCCTGGATTATAAGGATAAAAATTGCAGACTCGATGATCTATGGACGAGATTGTCTAACACCTCAATCCTGGCAATATCCTGAAACTGAAATACAGTCAACACTTATGCAAACTTTGTGTTGCCAATTTAAACATTTAGGAAAGATTACAGAAAAATTTAATTTTAACGTGAGGGATCTACAATTCGAATGATGCTCCAAAATTTCGGTTAATTAGCATGTATGTCTCTGTCTATCTTTCTCTCTCTCTCTCTCTCTCTCTCTCTCTCTCTGTGTCTCTCTCTCTCTCTCTCTCTCTCTACCTCTCTCTCAAGTCTGTAAATAGTGAGCACTTTGAATTTTTGTTTTGGCCCTCGGAAATTTGAAAAATCGCTTCCCCCCCCCCCCCCCCCTTGAGCGCAAGGGGAGGGGGCCCATCTCCAAAAAAGGGTAAAAAAATGATGTGTTTTTACACCTTTTCCCCCCTGGATCCGCCACTGCACATATATAAATATTATATATATTGCATACAATATTTTCGAAACACTTTTTGAATCTTATGTTAAAAAAAACACAACCTCCTCCCTCCACAAATCGCAGTAACAATGGAAGAATCCTGGATCGATGAACAGGCTTAGACCTACAACATCGTGTATTAAAGTAAGTAAGTAAGTAAAATAGTAACCGTAGAAATGAAGACCGTTTTGTTAACCATATAGAGCCTATAGCTCCATATCAAATTGAGCCAAGCCAAGGCTCAATATTAAGTAGCTTCAAACGATAATGAGTTGTGGGTCAAGTGGTAGCATTACCATATCTTTTTATTTCAAGCCGGAGGGGCCGGGGGGGGGGGAGATGTAGTAGTTTTTAAGTTTTTAAGTCAACGTATATGGCACAAGGCCGGGGCAAAGAACAAGGACAACTATATATCTGCCTAAATGCAAAACCACACAAGGTCAATTCTCAATATCATTTATGGGCGTGAAAATATGGAATATACTCATACGATTTAGGAACACGATCTAAAAATGCTTTTCGGAAGGGTTAACGAAACATCTAAATACTTTGAGTTAAACAAAAGTTAAGACTTCTTAAAATGGCAAAAAGAAATCTCAGATTAGAGAATTTCTAAAAAGATCACTAGATAATGATATATTTCTTATATTACTGTATGTTTGGTTTTGATACGGAAGTCGACACACATTAGTAAGGAATATTTCTAAATGACTATTCTATTTCTTTGTTTACTTATATAGTTTATGTACATGTATATAATGTAGTATAGTAAACAAAACAAAATAGTTTTAAAATTCTTGCCAAAGACAGGGAACCAGACTCGACTATAGCACTTGTGCTAACTTCTGGTACCCCTTTAACAACAAAAGTGTACACATAATATTTTATTCCATTTGTACGACATACTTTGTAAAACAATATTTATATTATTCATGCGTAATGTTATCGATCTTGTGTATTCTTATATTTTATGTAATCATGCTTGATACATTATGTTTTACTTGTTATTAATTTTGTTGTTAATAAACTCAAACTCAAACTCAAACTCAAACTCGACTCAAACGTAGAAATCTATATGTGATCTGTTCGATCCGCAGATATCGAGCTCAAATTAAGCTGCTAACTTCAGCTAAGAGTATTTGCCATATTTTCGGGAGATTTAGGCAAGATGTGGTGGGAAATAATCCCCGGTTTGGCCATTATTTGTGGATGTGTAACTGCTGTAGGTGGTCTTACTATAACTGTACAGAAATTGCAGCATGGCGGAAAGGTAAAGTAATATGTTAAGGTCGGAAAATGTGATATTTGATGAATGTGAAAAAGAGTTCAATGGCTTGCCTTGTTTGTGAATGACATGACACACGATCCTACTGTAGCCAGTCTGTGAAGCCGCGTAGCCGGGGTGACTGGCATGGCTGCAGAGCAGAGCCACCGTCACTTCCAGTCCACTGCAATCTTCTTCTTCTTCTTCAAGATAATCTGCCTCCTTCAATACTGAAGATTCTTGCAGATGCCGTATACTCTAGTGTAGTTGCGTATCCATTTTTTAGCAGTTTAATATCCATTCTAAATAAGAGAATTTTAACCCAGTTGTTTACTCATTTAAATCATAATCATATAGAGTAGTGGCTCCGGTCTGCGGCCGATCGGCGGGAACTGCCGATTCTATTTTTATTGGAATACTCACAGAATACTTCAATACCCTCAATAAAGAGTCCATATACTTACTTATTAAATAGAAGTCACAAATAACCTAACTGACCCACAGCGTGGTCAGCATTGACCACGTTTCGAAATGCTTCGTGTTCCCCGGTTTGCGGGCACGCATTACCGGTTTGCGGCACGCGTACGTCACAAAGCTTTATGCGCTACGTCACGATGAAAGCATGTACCAAATTACTACGGGTAACCCAAATTCTCATGTTTATCTGTTGCTACGGTAAATTTGTCAAGTTTTAAACAATTTCACCTTTTCCTCGAATGGATCATCCCATCCGGGGGTAAGTACTACTAGAAACTATCGGGTCATAGCGGGTACACACATCAGCACACATACCATCATACACGATCCCGCATGTTATGTGTGTATTAAACCAGAAAAAACACGTAATTACGTGCCGGTTTGCGGCCACCCCATGCAACTGGCCATGCGGTGGCACAATCAAAATATCTGCGATAGGAGACAGACCACAGCCATCATACTTCCACAAAAACATCAAATTTCACCTCCAATCGGACAAATATCGGACAAATAGAGCTACAATATTGATCTAGTCATGCCTCGATCTCTTAACTAAAAAGTTAGCACCTGCTGGAATTTTCATCGGCGACTGGTGCCGTAGATTTCCGACATCGCTGACGGATACTCCGTACCGACAGGAGCACCTGCTACGGACGTTTTCGGCAAAGCAGAACTTACCGTGGAATCCATGGTAGCTTTCAATGATTATTATCGAGTCATATTCATTTTATTTTTAAAACAAATACCCCTGGCCGCAAACCGGGCGATGCCGCAAACCGGAGACTCTACTCTAGAGTAAAGGAGCCCGTAATCGGCCAGCTCCCGTTTTCGGCCGATTGGTTGGATGCAAGGTAAAATCACTCTAAAATACATCGCATAATAGCATAAGGCCATGTAAAATTGATTTCATGTTGATCGTCCCCGCCCGCTTCCTTTTTGGGGCCGCCTCCTATTTTTTGTCATTTGTTATTTTTTTTTTTTTTTTTTTTTGAATTTTTTTTTGGATTTTTTTGTTATTTTTTTTTTTTTTTGAAAGAAAAAAAACATGAAAAACACTGCTAAAATGGCTCTATTTCTGATTTAAAAAAAAAAATTTGTCGGCGGCCATCTTGAAAAAAAATAGCCTCGACTGTCAGGGAAAATGTACCGAGCGGCCATTTTGAGCGGCCATTTTGAAATATCAAATATCAAATAACATGGTACACCCTCCTCCTCTTTTTCAAAAAATCTGGACGATCAACATGTAATCAATTTTACATGGCCTAACACATATCCCACTCATACCATACCATGCCAGTGTCACTGAAGAACCACATTTGCAATGAAAAATATATCCTAAAATATCACATTTTAGCGATGTAATCGGCGGTCCCGCTACCCAAATCTGAAAAATCGAGTATCTTACGCGTGTATGTAAGAAATATGGGTACCATAAAATCCGCTTTATTTCAAGTATTTTTCAGATTTAGAGCCCGATTTTGTGTTAGTCGCAAGCTCAAAAGTATCTCATCGCATGTATTAAATCAATGCAGCCGGACCCTGCCACGCACACACGATATGTCTGTCTAATTCAGATTCAAACTTCCGATCACCGCTGTGCCTGTCTTCGGCCAAGCGAGCACCAGGGAGCTCCGGCGTGGGATATCTGCTCCGCCCGCTTGTGCTGTACATCAGCGCGGAAACGCACGGCGCGCGCGAGCGCTTCCTATTGACTTTGTACATGCGGCCGTAAACTGAAACGCTCGGCCGATAACCGGCTCCAAAACAGTGAAAATTGAAATGAATATTGTCATGGCAATTCGTGATTTTTTTCTGGGATTCTTTTTTTGTTTAAATAATAATAATATTTGCTTCATGATTTGAACAAAAAATGATAATAAATAGGAAGTAAAGGGTCCTAAAAAAAGGATTTTGTCTTAAGTGGCCGAAAACGGGCTCCTTTACTCTAGACTAAAAAGATTTTCCACCTGAATTTGGATCACATCCAACATCGGGAAGCCTAGATCTACGTTTAGGGCTTCGATTTCGACGTCGTTGCTCAGTACCGTCTCTACACTGTAGTCCTGCACCTCAAACTGAAGCTATTATATCAGTCCAAAATTATGCAAACTTCTCGTATGGTTTATGGTATCGTGGATGCTCGTAATACATAAACCATTCGAGAAGTCTGCATATTTTTGGACTGATAGCTTCAGTTTGAAGTGCGGAGCTATAGCGTAGAGACGGTACTGAGCGACTACGTCGACATCCAAGCCCTAAACGGAGGCTTCCTGATGTCGGATGTGATCCAAATTCAGGTGGAAATTGCGATAGACCCTAGTCTATATGATTATGATTAAAATGAGTAAAAAATTGGGCTAAAACTCCTTTGCTAATGATGGATATTAAGCTGCTAACAAAATGGATACGGAACTACACTAGCGCCCGGCCTGATTGGGGTGTGCAGGTGGACCATTACACCGAGGTTTCCCCCTACTCGTATACGAAAAGTGCAATGGGTTCTTAACGTGACTCTCCTGTACACGGGGCCTCCATTTAACGTCCTATCCGAGGGACGGAGTGTTTTCCACTTGACATAACCTCCTGCGTCTATGAACAAGGGAAGGGGCACGTTAGCACACAACGCAGACTTCAGTCATCCGCCTCGGTGGGAGTCGAACCCGGGATCTTTGGTTCGACAGGCAGACGCTTTACCGACTGAGCCAACTCGCCTCCTCAATCAACCGACTGGGTTTAAAAATGTGGCAATCATTAATCAAGACCATGTGATGTACAAAATGGACTCGATCATTGAATTCTGATAGGTGAAAACAGAATCTAGACTAATGTAGACAGCGAAATGTGCAAATTATGTCATCAAAACTCAAAAGCAATTTTTAGCCACCACTTTCACTTTAACTTTCAGTTTCAGTTTTAACTTTGTTTGGCCCTTAATCATGAATCATGCTTCATGGTCATCGATTTTGCAGTTTCAAATTTCAAGATCCTAAAGAAAGAGTCTAGAATCTATTTCGAAGTAGAGTAAACTCACTCCTTATTAATTTGTTTTTATAACAGGCAAGGAGAACAGCCTACACACGATTCGACTACACAATGATCATGAGAGATAAGAAAATTGCAGGCAAATACTGGAAAGCAAAGGTAAATATGTAATGCCCTCTGGACTTTCTTAACCCTAAAAAGGCTGGGGGGGCATAAATGGCCCGCCCCCCCCCCCCTGTCGATTTTTTTTTTTGCCGCTGCATCAAAACCCCTGAACCTTTGGCGCTGAAATTTCATTAGTGTTTTCCCTCATGTCTCCTGCACATTTTGATACCAAATTTGTTATGGGGATGGGGGGACCTATGGTTAAGGTGTTGGGTGACAAAATATCATCACATGTCTATCAAAATATGTAATTCTCACAAATGTTTGTGTGTAAGTATATTTCCCCCAAAAAATTGAAATTATCATAAAAATATTAATAAAAAAAATAAATAAACATAAAATAAAATAAACATTACCATCTTATTCAATATCCTTCAATCTATCACCATGTGCTAATTTTCACATTAATTGGACCTTCCTAGAACGAGATCTTAGGGGTGGGGCCAATCCGGGCCATAATGCTCCCCCCCCCCCCCCCCCCCCCCCCCCCCCCCCCCCCCCCCGGGTCGTATTAAGACCTCAAATAGCCCGGCCTTTTTAGGGTTAAAGGTCAAAATTTACAAGGACAAATACATGAGTTATAATAACGGAATAATTTTAACATCATCTTTGCTGTTTATCTCCAGTGTTTAATATTAAGTATAATATAATTTTAGTTAAACACAGATTTTCTGTAGGCTCCAAGCCAGTGTAAAAAATGTATTTTCTGTTCATAGGATTTAGTGTTGTATGACATAAGTAAGCGCGATTATCTGACACTGATCATCTGTCTTCCTCTCGCTCCTTTCTCTGACTCTGTCTTCTCTCCTGCTTCTCTCTCTCTCTATCTCTCCCTCTTTCTCTATCTATCTCTTTCTATCTCACAGGGACTCGAGTCATTAGCCGGTGTGAATGTAAAGTAGACACCTCCAGTATGCTGTTTGCAATTCCTCTCCTTCATCTACAATGCTTTGCCAGGAGACCTGCCCAACAGAACATTAAAATATCTACCAGATCTGAGACATCCTTTTATGCAGTGGATTGACAATTCAACATGCCTATGGGAAATGATGGTTCATCATCATGGAGTCACTTTATCTGACATAAATCATTTTACTTCCTTCATTGATATTTTGTGAGCTTATGGAGCTATGTAATATGCCCAGTTGTCCATCCTTAATTAACATCAGGTACTTTCAAAAGAACAATTTGAAGAAAAAAACAACACATAAACATCAATAGTTTAGTCAACTTTAGTGTTGTACATATGAATGTACCTGTATTCTTAACCTGAAAGTGGGATGTTCATTGCAACCCTTTTGTTTTTGAAAATAAATTCCATTATTTCCATATATATAATTTAGTCTCTTTTATCAAGAGAAAATGGTTTAGTACAGAAATTTATCATTAAGCTTATAATTTTTGCAATTCCCATATTGATTTGTGTCATTACATGTAATTTGAGGTTAACTCAATGGAAATTCTGCCGTATAGCTGTAAAATTGTGTGAAACAGTGAGAAAAGGAATCAACCCTTAATTCTACCAAAGAATACAATCAATTTCTAAAGAGCCATATCTCGCAGATTCTGTTAATGTGGCAGGGTACTTGCATGTGCACTGTGCAAGCTGGAATCTCAGCGACTGCTGTGATTCATGTACATGTACTTTATGGCAAATACATGTTCATGTACCCTAACATTCTCTGTTTGGAACCAGAAGGGCATTTACTCTGTACAAAATAATACAAGTTAACACCCTACTGGCTCCAAACAGCTGTTATGTCATTCATGTTGTTCATGGAAGAGGATATTATTGATGTGGGTTTATACACTAGCAAGTGCATTTGTGGTGAAACATTTTCCTTGTGTAATATATGATGGATATTTGCCATATTTGATATGGACACTTTCTCTGCTTTTCTCAAGAAAAAGAGAGTGTATGATGTTGATGTGGCCAGTAAATATATAGTTATTGAAATATAGCTATTGTTTGTTTTTGTTTTCATTATTTTCACTTCTTGTGTGAATTTTACTATTAAAAGGGTGTTTTCCTTGCATCAGAGGGGAGGCAGACAGTAAAAAAAAAAGAAGGGGGGGGGGTACGTGAAGGAGTGTATAAATAGATAAGTAGACAGGAAGGTGGGATAGAGAGAGAGAGAGAGAGAGGGGGGAGGGAGAGAGAACTGGAGAAAAATAGGAGACGGAATAGTGTATTAAAAAGGACTTGAGAAACAGATGGGGGAAGAAAAAAAACACTGAAAATTGGGATTGAGCAACAAGTAGCAAAATTAGTGAGAAGTGACAAGTAGAATGGAAAGTAAGAGGAAGATGTGAGAAAGATGGCAAGGGAGTAAGAAAGGAAGAAAAAGAGAACTTGCAAGCTATGAGAGGGAATGAAGATGAAACAAAAGTGGAGCAAGTTTCAAGAGAAGTAGCAAACTTGAGAAAAACAGAGACGTGATGAAAACGAGGAAGACAGATATACATTAGGTAGCACTGTATCATTAATTTGTTCATTTTAATACATGTTGCTTACCAAACTGGAACAATCATGTATCTGTATTACTTTTATCCCATTGCAATGATCTCCCTTCTTAAAAATGCTCTTGAATTTTACTCTCTCCACTCAATTAATAGACTCCATTCCTCTATCTCTCTTCCTTTTTACTTCTACAATATCACTCCCGTCCTCCTTTCTTACAACATTCAATTTTCTCTCTCTCCATTTCGTCTTTTTTCTATTTTGCTTTCATCTGCTTTCTTGTTTCTCCTTCATATTTCTTTTGTTCTCCTCCATCTCCTTTCTCAAACTATTTAACTTTGTTCCTCCTATTTCTCCCTATTCTCTCTCTCTCTCTCTCTCACATTTCCACTTCCTCACTCCCTCTTACTCTCCCTGCAAAGGTTTCATTTTACTGCAAGAACATTTTTTTTTAACGAAACCATCTCTTTATCTTCTCTTTCCTTCTATTATTCATTTTCAAAAAATCAATTCAAAAATTGAAAATTTCTCCATCGTCTATGTAAGTGAGGCATTTGTAAATAACACTTTCTTAAACTCTATTACATGTTTGAATCATTTTAAAGGAAATTTTCTTCTGATTTCTCATGTGTACATAGAAATAAATAACTGGACAGTACAAAACTGATTATAAATGAAGACTTATCAGTCCCTGTAATACATTTATTTGATAAATAACAACATGTATGTACAGGGCTAGACAGAAAACTGAATTTTTGACCGTTTACTCGAGCTCCTCCAGACTCTGATCGGTTTTCTTTCAAGCCCTATACTGTATGTCTGCATTATCTGTGGCAACTATGGGTAAAGATACCGGTACATGTGCTTCCAAAACTTTACAGCTTCACATCATTTTCTTCTGGGCCCTGTTTCATAAAACTTTTTACCAATGACAAATGCTAAATTTCTATGAAAAATCTAGTCTCAGCCAATCAAATGTCACGATTTCAGTAGTTTATAACAGCTATTGTAACTTGTTATTGATGACAAGTTTTATGAAACAGGGCCCAGGATTGGAGTAAATAGATAATAAGATGATTAACACCTTCTGTGCCACTATTTTTTTTCAACATTAAAATACACCATTAAAGTTTGTTAATGAGTTACGACTTATACAAAGATATCAGCTGATTTCACCCGTTGAGCTTTACGAGAGACTCAGACATGTTTGACTTTGATATGTGCTATACGAATGAAGCCTGCCAAAGCCTGAAATGGGGAAGGCTGGGGCCCTGGAGTCAGGCTATGGCTGAAAACTAGCATTCCTGCTTATCAGACAACTGACAAATTATACTTGTGCATACAAATTGGGGAGTTGTTCTACATTAATCGCCAAAAAATAAGTAGTTCGCTAATCATGTCATAAATATATCAAGTCATCTCAACTCCTATAGATTCATGTTATTCATAACCCTCTGTTAGTCCAAATTTTCAATTATCAATTCCTGCTTACTTGCAAACTGATTTGTTCTGAACATTATAAAAAGTGTCTGCTAACAAAATGTGTTTCGATGAAGTAAATTAGTCTGTCCTTCTTTGTATTTAACAGATGGAAACACATGTATTACCAAAGACACTGTACAATGTTGTATTCAGGACCATTTAAATAGGGGACCAAAAACCTATCTGTAAAAATGATCCATAAACCTAAAAAACAGTAAAAATGCAAGAATACCTTATAAGTATTGAACTTCATTGCAAATATTGATGGTTTTTTTCATCCATTATGTAGTTAATTTTCTACTGCTATGTAAATTAAGGTACATTTTACAAGCTAAGGGAGATGGGGAGAGAGGGGGCTACATCTTCAAGAAACTGCTTCACAAATCCAAATAGACCTTATCCATGTCAATCAGGATCATCTGCTCACTGATACCATCAGACACGTTTTCATACATCTAGAAGATCTCCTGAACTTCATTTTCATTCTTAAAAAGAGTAATTTTTTAGCATTTCCATCAGCTCATCCAGCACTAGGACATCTTTCAGCAGCCAATGCAAACATTCTTTGACACTTTGCTTTTGAAACTACACTTTGTGTACTTGCTAGTGCCATGCTTGTAGTTACATGAAGTTCTATGTCAAGTGTCCAGGCATTGGCGCATTTCAAGGTAGGTGCTATGACAAGTCCTCATCATCAAACAGGTCATCAAAATCTGGAGAAAAAAAACACAAGAGAAAATAAAACAAACAGTTTAGTGAGGTATTTTAATATGAGCCCAACATAATAATGCACAGCTGTCAAACTTCAGAAGCAAAAATTAGTAATCTATCAGGGGGAAAAATATTCAGAATATAATGGTTTTTATTTTCTTCTAAGAACAGAAAAAAGGGATCTAAAAGGTGTTTTAACACAACTTTTGAGGGAAAAAATATAGGAATGGTTTAAACACTGTGAAAGTGGACTTACACAGAACACGAATTCTAAATACATGAGATGAGTTCAGCGGGCCACATTAGAATATTGTTTACTGGTGTGTACAATGGGGCAGGTTTACAAGAGGGACAGTGGACACATTCATACAGGATCTAGGAGGAGTCTAATAAGAGTAATATTTTAGGGAAGAAAGCACTTGCCATTCTAATTGAATATAATATACAAAAGGACACAAAGATGACTGAGGACATAAAACAGCATGAAAGTGTAATGTAAGCAGAGTTTCACTCTGAGGTTTAATAATTATAATTTCGATGACTTTCTGGAAGAGCGATCTTTAAATGAATTTGAAAATCGTTGGATGGGTGGGCTTGGGGATACCATTTGCCTCTAACAACGGCACTCTAGTCTCTACCACATTTTTATTTCTATCAAGAGGAGCAGAATTTTCTCACCATTAAAGAAGTCTGAATGAACAGCCTTCTCATTAGCTGCTAAATCCATCAGGAGACCTGCTGTTCCTCCAGCCTGTAATAAAGAGATGAAAGACTTATAGTACATCTAAGATTAGGGTAAGACATTATGTTTGGTAAACCAGGCCAGTACTAGTAGATATCGTATGTCAAGTCAGTTCCTGTTGTTGTGTTGATATCAACTTGATCAAGTACACTTTAACAAATGCAGAACAAAATCAAGTCAGGTAAAATCTGGTCTTCTACATTTGTGTAAGCGTAAGAATTTAGGGACTGGTATTTCTCTTTAGTTTTGTTTAAGACAGTTTACAAACCAACAAATAAGTATTCTCTAGCGTAGAGAGAAATAACCGTCTGATTTGGGTCATTTCTCTAATAAAACTGACATTTGTTGACGTATAATCGGAGGTCTAGTGGAGCCAGACGTAGTATCAGTGGAACAACCGACGATTAGAGAGACTGAAGCTTTCGGTCTATCTCTAGCGTTACCTTTAACATCCCAAGTCTGAGAGTGAGATAAGCCACACAAACATGACAAAGTCAAGCTCAAAGACTTCCGAGATTGAAAGTTTGCCGAATTCTGATTTGCTCCAATTTTTTGCTGATTTAGAAGTTAGAACATCTGATATTTACACAAATATTCATACCCTTCATCAGGATCATTTTAACTTTTTTTAAGATCTTCCTAAACCTACCGAAGATACATTTGATCTAATCTAGTCTACTCTTCCTAGAATAAAATGCTCGTCATCGGACAAATGACTGGACGGTGCTGCGTCGAACGCCTGGCCCGGTGGGCAAGGCAGATAATACACTACGTTATCGTAATGCTTCAGATTCGGTCAGTCGCGTAGCTTTGCCCCGAACTCAATCAAGAAGTCTCAGTCTAAGCACAAATACATGTACAATAAAAAGTTAGAAATATTACCTCATCAAGATCTACATAAGGCCCGGAACCTTCGGGAAACATTTCATCAACAGCTACTGGCTTCATTTTGAGAAATGTTGTCTTCAAGTTCACAAAAGTAAGAGAATTCAATCATTCGGTCGGTCACGTATCTTTTCCTTGATATGGTGTCTTTACATCTGGTGACACAAAGAAAATCGGAAAATTAAGGTGGCCGTGCTGGGGATTGTGTGGGGATGGGGGTGTTTTAGCATGGAGAATTTTGAGAGACCCTTCCCCTTTTCTTCATCCTCTCTCACACGTAAGTCCTCCCTCTGCCAATCTCATATATTCTTACACACACACACTCTCTCTCCCTTTCATCTTTCCCTGATCTCTTGCTGTCGCATACCCTATTTCCTTCCCCCTTCTCTCTCTCCCTCTCCTATAGATTTGAATAACTTTTTCCCCTTATCTTCTCTCTCTCTCTTTCTCTCTGCCCTTGTACTTTACTTGTACTATACACTCTCCCATTAATTTCCATTCACTTTTCACTCTCTCCACCATATGCACTAAATGTAACCTTCATATCGATCTCTTCACTCCATTCATCAACTATATCTTTTCCCCATCTTTGTTTATAGTCAGAGCACACATAAAACATCCAAACAATTCAAATGAATAAGAGTTTAAGCAATTTATATTTAAAATAAATTATTTCTTATTTACAAAATAACATTCTTTGTTAAAGCACATAATACAACAAATACCAATTATCATAATACAAATCATTCATCAATATCTCCATTTCTTAAAATACTCAAAGATTTTGTATCAATGTCAATAGTCATTCTTCTTCAATTATCCTTACTAAAAAGTGCGGAATTTCCAGAAAATACATGCTTAATAAATACAGTGTAAGAGGCAATTGTGTGCCTATTTGTAGCACAATATAATTCTAACTGTAAACCATGCTAACATTGTTATTTGGCATTGTTCCTTTTACAGAGAGTTTTGAGTTGAGATTGATGTGCTGTCTGGCAAGTCCAAGAATAATATAGCGAAAGTCCTGGACCTGGGATTGGCTCAAAGTTACTTTACATCACTTTCATGGGGATATCAATCACACACAAAAACTCATACATACTGCTGTTCGACTCAAATGAGATTATGAAAGTACAAACTGAAGAAGTTGAATTGTGTATTAATTACCATAAAATGCACTTAATAGCTCCCCCCCCCCCCCACACTCAGTGTTATTTAGGGTATGCATATGCATGTTCCCTCCTTTAGAATACACCCCCTAAGTCCGATGTGTAAAACGGGCTTTTGTGTACTACGAGCCGAACTTTGGTGCGTGAAAAGTACCCCTTTACCTGACATTTTGGTAACACGCATGGTATCCCTCCGATCAAGACGTGGGGGGCCGGAAATAGCTTCAAGCCAGACTATTACAATTTGAAGAAAAGAAGTAAAATAACTGGGAACTCACAAACTGATACCATGGACCCATAAAAGTTATGTTTGATTAAAGGAAAATATAACATAGATTACTTAAGTGCGTAGTTTTGCACAGGTAATGTACGTGAACACAAATGAACTACGTAGCTAGATTGATCACCAGCTGATATCACTCAAAAGCCATTCAGATAGCTGACCCCTTGACCCTATTAAACTTAACCACTATGCAATCATTGGCTGTTTCAAGATCATATGACTAGAAACGGCAAAGAGGCCAATAAAAAGTCTGACTCAATCTACAATGGAAACAACTACGAAGGCAGTGCAACTGAACCTTCTGTCACCTTAAAGACCATCTGTACTAGTTCGGCCAGAAGGGCCCAGCGAGGTCACTGACAGGTGGCTATCTCATCAACTCAGCTCTCAATTAACATAAGAAAAAGAGGATCATGCGGGACCAACAGGCACCGATTGGAGAAGTTTTCTATAAAGAGGGAGCAAGTAGCTACAAGTAGTACAGTGGGGCTTTAAAATTCATTCAAGTGTCACTTATTGACCTTCTTTCCAGTACTTCTAAGGTTGAGAGATTGAGTGAGTGAGTGATCAACATTGCACAATAGATTTTTGTGAGAAACCCACAGTGTAATTGGGAGGTGAACGATGGTTAAGAATGTGGACCAGGGGGGCGTTTCACAAAACTTGTCATCAGTGATAAATGACAGTTTTTGTTATAAGCTACCGAAATCCTTGCTTCTGATTGGTTATCAGCAGAGTTATCACTGATTATTGTCATTTTTCATTAAAAAAAAGCTTTGTGAAATGCCCTCCTGGTGAGAGAGACAGGTTCGTTCCTTGGTGTCTCCTTAGATCAAGATAGTTATGTAAAGTTCCTTAATTAAATTAAATTAAATTAAATTAAATTAAGTTCTTCCATCGCCAGAGACAGGTTGATAGAGTGCTATCCATGGACAGCCCGGTTACACAACACTATTTTTGCTAGAGTTTGCCAAATCATGAATACAATAAAATAAAAACAATTTCATACAAGACACATGTGTGTAACCAATGCATTTCAACTTTCATTTCCTCCATCTACTCTTTTTCATCTAAGTTCTCGATTTCTGGAGCTATTGCCTGCTTCCATCTAGTCCTAGTTCTCCTCCTGTTCTCCCCAATCCTGTAACATCCTGTCCACCATGTCATTGGTCCTACCGGTCTTTCTTGGTCTTGAACCTGGACCGGGTCCTGGTCCAGGTCTCCCTGCATCCTGGTTCTCTGTAGCACTCAGCCACAGATTGCCTCCCAATAGCTCAGAGATGTAGAGGCGCTTGGCCTCAAAGCTATTCAGGTGGTCTCGGCTCCAGTCCATATAAGGTATCTGTCAATGAGTACAATATACCGGTACTACAAATTATTATGTATATTCATATATTTTCCCCGACACCTAAAACAAACTGATTAACAAACATTAACATGTAAATAATTATATCATTATTTCCATTAACACAAAGTGACTTGCATTGCATCTATCACTGACTGCCTGTTAAAGACCATTACTGCCATTGACAATGCATAGCGCCTACGGCCTTCTCGCACCCAGCCAAAGATACAATACAATGGGATCTTAAAATGACATATTTTCACATTTGTAATAGGCAGTCATAATACACAGAATCTTTATTTCTGTTAAGAGCCAGAAGGGCATTAACTCAGTGTGAAAGTACATGAGTTACCACCCTTCTGGTTCCAAACCGTTGAGTTACCGTTTCATAAAATTGGCAATAATTCTGCAGCAACATCTACTATCTGCTGTATGTACTCTACATAATCACTGAAGCTACAGACTTCTTACAAATTGCTCTTGATAGTCCAAAAGAAGCTGTTTTGTTTGGACATAGAAACATGGGCGTCATTGCACATCGTTATGACAGGATTGCATTTCTAGTATATATTTAAAATTGTACCCTTAAATAGAAATACAATTTGCCTCTCGATAGAAAATGAAATTTTGAAATACAAGCTTCTTCATGGATTCACTTACAGTGATGTACTCGTAACCCAAGATTTCAAGATGGCGGCGTTTCATCTCAACCCAGCTGCTGTAGCGTGTGATGTTGGAGCACATCTGAGATGGTCGAATAACATCTATCGCGATCCTATAACAGGTTTCAGAGGGAAGACAAATAGAGAAAGAGTATAACATGAAATGAAAGATAAACCCCAACAAATACATACCGGTAATCATACACATAACAGACAAGAAGAGAAATGTGATCATGTCAGAGGGTTAGACAAGTAAATAGATAGAGAGAGAGAGAGAGAAGGGGAGGCATACAGCAAGAGAGCAAAGATGAGAGCAAGTGAGGGAAAGGGAAAAGAGAAAGGAGAAAAAGAATAAGAGGAAAAAGATGGATAAGAAAAGGCACACAGGGTATGCAAGATATCACATAAAATGAGGAGAAAAGGGGGAATTATGGAGATATATATGGATATTACTAATCAAGGCATACCTTAAGTGCTTATAGTGATGAAGAAGGAAATAAATAGTTTCACAATAACAAATATTATATACCTCACTTAAGAAATCCAGCCATCTGATTGGTCAAATTGCATTCATAAACTTCAACTGTTCCTGTAAAATTCCCGGTAACCATGCTTAAAACATTTCAATATTTTTAATAACCATGGTTATTAAAAAAATAGGTCAGTCTCCATGGTTACCCCATAGGTTTACATGTTAAAAAATGGTTTGAGCGATGGAGGATACCATACGTGTGCGAAAAATTGGTCGGCAATTTCAATACAATTGAATCTCGATCGATCTTACCGACAATTTTATCTTGCATTGTTGACATGAAGACGAAAATTAACTCTCAAAAACAAAAAAACAACATCTGCCGATAGATCTTGATCTAAGTTCGTGCCAATATGCATTGCAAAAGTAAAAGAAGGGTCCGTTTCATGGAGCTTTTGCGAAGCATCCCTCACGCGGAGCCGTTTTCAATCCATTTTAATGTATATATTGGAGAAAACTGCCAAGCATGTTAATGGCGCGCGATAGCCGAGTGGTCTAAGCGTTGGTTTACGATACACCTCTTGTTGTACGCAAGAGTTCGAATCCCGTCTTCGACAAAAATGTAAATTATTTTTTATTTTTTATTTTTTAGTCTATTTTTTTTCGGCATATAAAAGTATTAATGACTGCTTTAATATTCGAGAAATAGTTGTTTTCATACGCTCTCGGGAAGGTTACAATTGGGCTATTCCCCTCGGCAAGCCTCGGGGAATAGCACAATTCTAACCTTCCCTTGAGCGTAATAAAACAACTATTTCTCTCAAAGCAGTCATTAATACTATACTATAATAAAGTGCATCTCCGATCAGTGAATTAAGCAGGACAGAAAGGATGGGCATATCATGAATACACTGTATACCACAATCTCAATTTGCTTAGTGGAAGGCATGGAAGTTCATATCACAATTTTGATTTTTTTTTTTGTTTTGTTTTGTTTCCCCAATACAACTTATTACAATAAAGAAAATCATTGGTTTAAAGATTCAACTGGTACGTTGTTCAATGTAGATTTGATAAATCATTCAGTGCTATTGTTGTAGTTCACCTTTGAGCACCGTCTTGAAGAAGACCTTCCTGATGCTTTTCTCTCTTCAGGATATCCGATGATGAAGGGAAGGTATTTCTCTTCCCGTTCATCTCAAGCTTATCGACCTGTCTCTGGCTGGTATATGTCACGGGCTGACCTTGATAGTCTAAGATACACTCAAAATCTGGTAGAAGACAAACCAAAGAAGACATCAAATGTTATGGAGGTACAGCATCATACAAGCAAATAATCATAGAATACACATTTGTCTTTATTCATTGTCTTGCAAACACATGTGACAACTACAAGGGTATCAACCAAAGTTAGACAATACTAATATTAAAGAAAGAGGAATTTCTAGTCCATATGTAAATTTCTACATACCGGTATTGTATAAATGAGTAAGTATATTTCATTTCAAGGAATATGCATTCCAAAATCTGTTTACAAGGTACTTTGTAATGTGCAGACTATCTGTACTGCAGACTTTACAAAAACCCAAAGCTTTAATTCTAGTTGAACTCTCAACAGTTCAACAGTTCATCAGAATTTTATACAAAACCAAAGGCTAACAAGAATGTGGGTACATGAGAACACATTCTCAGGAACTAGTCAGCATAATCACCATTCGTGTTTGCATAGGGAGTTTGTGCGTTTCTCCTCAAGAAAGCTGGTCCTCCTAGGACATCTTGCAGGACTGATCCAACATCCAGCTTGATCCCGTGTACTTGTGGCTTCCCTATTCACCAAAAACAAATATCAAAGTTAGATCAACAAGTATGAAAAAGATCAAAATAGAAACTACATGTATAATGGGTGACCCTCACTTAGATCTTGGTAAATGTATCATTTTCCATAAATTATGAGAAAGAAAGAAAAAAAATCAAATTCTAATGATACTATTACTAGTTATTACCACACAGAATTTCAGAAACATGCATGTACATGTTTTTTGTTTTAATTATTGCATTCATATGAGGATCTGAAGACAAATTGGTGAAAAAAATGCAAGAAAACAAATTGGGGAGAGATGGTGTGAAAGTCATATCATCTTCTTTTCAAATTTTGCTTTCCCACTCCTCTTTTCCTTTTCCTTTCCTCCTCCTTGTTATCTATTTCACCTTCTCCTTTTCTTCTTCTCTCCTTTTCTTTCTCTGCCTTCTTCTCTCTCTCTTTCTAGCTCTTTCTCTCTCTTTCTAGCTCTTTCTCTCTATCTCTCTCTATATCTCTCTCTCTCTCTCTTCAATGAATATTTGGCTTCCCTAACCCTTGTACTATCCAACCATAAACTGAAGATTCCCACACGAGACGTATTTTGAAGTACATGTACGGTAGGCAGAAAGTCCCACATATTTTGATCTTTATCCCTACCTGATCCTGACATCTGCTCTGAGCTAAACCACGGCACTCTAAGCTCAGGGCATTCAAGGCACACCGCTCTGTTCAACTCTCGAAGCTGATGTGACAGAGCTCTGGGAACTGTACAAGATACATATGAAGCAAAAAATCATCAGTTATCCCATCTGCATTTCGAAATACAAAATTGACTCTACTTTTGTTCAGATGGGTCGATAAATCAAATTCACATTTGAAATTCAACTTGAAAATTGGAAACAAGGTTTGACTCCTTGAGCATACAAAAAACAAAATGTCTTAATTTGTGAAGAAACTAGAAGGAAAGAATGTACCAGATGTGACAGGTTAAAATAGCTGTAACCTTAATTCATGTTACTAATCTTGGGTACAAAAGTTATGGAAATGGATCCTCCTAAATTGTAAGAATTGCTGAAACTGGACTACTACACTTGATAATCTTTGACCATTTTTACCGTACCCAAAAATTATGATTTGAACTCTTAATCTAAATAAAAATTGCTGTGAAATGAATCAAAATGATCTTTTATGGCCGACCTAACAGGCTTACCAAACATCTCTTCCATGCTCCCAAGAAAGCAGAGACTGAAGATAGTTTGAAGTAGGTCCAATGGAAAGCACTGAAGGGCAGCAAGGCTGAGTGCAATGTTGACCAGTCTCTGAGGCTGAAGATCCGCCATGTAGGGTATCACCCTGGAGGCACAAAGGTCTTCCAGGAACGTTGGAGATGTGGGATGGTAGTTGCCAAAGGTGAACGCATCCAAGATGTCACGAACATGGAACGGCGAGATGTCATTCATCTGTGACTGAGCTGTCGCTTCAATTGCCGCCAAGAAGGACTTGTTGTAGATGCGGTGTTGAATAAGCAGTTTGGCAAAGGCAACAGCGGAAGCAGGGTCCCGGATCCACGATGCATTAAGGATAGGGGAAGCTGAAAGACTCTTACTAGCGGCTCTTTTGTTATTAGTGGGATCTGCCAAGTTGGTACAGTAAAGAGGTTTTCTTACAAATTCCAGAAGGTTAAGAAGACCTTTGGGGAGATTTTCCCTTGGGTACAGTTGATCAGAGTAGGAGGAAAGCACAAAGAACACTCTTCGCAGATCATGACCCTTCAAGTTTGGCATGAAGATGAGAACCTTGTCCCACACACTAGGATCAATGTCATTACAAGGCACACCTAGATTGCTCAGGGCATCAAGTGTATAGACTACAATGTGTGGCGAAGGAGTCTTCTCCAAGATATTATGAAGTCTTTCAATACAGATAGATTGTAGCTGGGTATTAGTGGACCTAGCTGTTGTAAGATAGTGTGATATATTCTTGATAGCTGTAACATTAGTTAAACTATCAATGTTTTCCAAGACATGATCTTCAATAAGAGCTAGAAACCTTCCTGACTTAACTTTCATACGCCCCATGGCATTGCACAGCCTTCCAAGTCGCTCCAAAGATAAAAATGGAACTATTTCTGCACTTTTATTTATCAGCTCGACCATAAGATCAGGTTCTGGGTCACGACTTAGCACCTCAATGAGGGCAAGGAGTTGGTGCGGTGAAGAACACTCCAGAAACTGCTTTTTCATTTGCTGCTCCAGAAGCTCCCTGAGCTCGTAATTTCTGGAATAAACTTTCCTCAGGTTGCTGTAGATGATGGCCATCTCAATCGCAGGAATGGCAGGGACTTGTGGAATGAGCAACTGGCTAACCCTAGTCATGATTTGATCCCTATTCTCCATGCTCCTCATTAAAACAGCTCCTTGCATGATGCGTCTGATGTCGTTGAACCCATAGGACGCTCCTGCAACAAACAGCTTCAAGCAGTGTTGCGTGATGCGATTCTCCAAGTCTCCAGAACATAAGGTGATGAGCGCGTAGAAACAATGAGAAAAATCACTTGGGCTGTGGATATCATCAAGTATATCGGACATTCTGGAAGTCATCAGTCCCGCAAATGGAGCGTGGTGTCTGTTCATCATGATTACAGCTTTGGATAATGGTGAAAGGTGAATACTGTCCAAGACATCAATAACGCGATAGACTTTCTGAACAATGTTGGAGACAGCGGGGTGGGTGATATCGACGCTACAGTGTAGGAGCCCCAGGAGAAGCCTTGGAAGAGGGACTACATCGTATTCAAGGTCATCAGTCAACAGCTCTTGGATGTGGGCGAGTACACTCTGCATGATGGCATCCGCTTCACTACAGTCAACACCAAACCTTGGGATGACATCCTTGACAGACTGACAGCAACGGACAAACATAGCAGCATCATTGAGATCAAAGGATTGCACTTTGAGACTCAGTGTGTAATACAGTGCATCGATTGCAGGACTAGTAACCTCTGGAACGGCAAACTTCAAGATCAAGTAGAGCACGCTCAGAGCCTCGGCATTGGACATTGCAGCAGCATGAACTTGGATCAAATTGCACAGTTGTGGCAACACAGGGTGATTGTGAAGGATCTCTGAATATTCCAACCATAGCTGAATATCATCTCTTACCATCCAAATACATTCCCAAAGCTTGTTCACAGCGAGGCAAACATCTTTCGGAGTCATGTCATTTAGGTGACCTGAAATGACTTCGAGCGAATGCAGGAGGTCTGCACCATCCCTAAAGTTTAGGACGCTGTTACTAGAATCCAATCTTAAATTTAGATGTATACTAGGTGAGAAGTCCACACTTGCTTTCTGTTCTGCATGATGAGATATAGCACGGTACTGTTGCTTGGCTTTCAAAATGCTCCCTATCCCTGATAAGTTAACGGTCAATAACCTCAGTGCTCCTGCATATGTTGCAGAATGTGCAAGGCTAGATACAGCTCTTTGGTTAGGCACTTGTCGAATCAGTTGGTTGGATGAGAGGCCCCATGATCTGATGCCCGCTTTTTGAAGATGCCTCAGGCATGAGGTACATATGGCACTGAAAGACATCGCTCTTTAACAGCTCACAAGCTTTCCGTCAAATCATCTGTCATGTCCTCCATGTAAATCTGAAAGAACAAATAAAATGGAAACATTTAAAATTTGATTTCTGTTCACATAATCTATTCCAATCTCTATTTCATTTTTAAGTATAATAAAACTTGTTTTTCTTGAATTTTATAATGTCTTCAAGCCTCTTCATCATCTTCTTATTGCACATATTTATATTAGCAATTACCCATAATTAGGATGTAAACAGCTACAGTACCTCTTCCTGTTTGTTTGATTTATATTTGTATTTCATTTTCTAGATCACTACATTGTTTATTGCCAGACCCTTTACACCCCCACAATTGTGTGTTTGTGTGTGAGGGGGGGGGGGGGGGGGGTGACATTTTCAACACCTGTTCAAGATAGATCTATACCAGTATGTAGATCTATGTCCTAGCAGCCAGGTTTTTAAAAATGAGGGCAAAAATCACCTTATTTACACAGGTAAATTTCATAATATTATGCTTAATTTTAGAATGCCCCACCAAGCAATACTATATGTAGACTCTACATGGAAATCCAACACTTCGGGTTAGAGTTAGGGATATGGTTAGGATTAGATTTAGGATTAGATTTAGGGTTAGTATTACTATTATATTACCTTTAGATTTAGCTTTATTGGTGAAGCGTTGGTTGAGCTACAAACATTGGGGATACGGGGTCCAGACAACTCGCCACAAAGACAGCTCGCCCCTGGACAACTCGACACAATACCCTGTACATCTCGCCACAATACCCTGGACAACTTCCCACGGTCGAGTTGTCCAGGGTGGGGTGCCTTTTCGGGCAGCTCGTCACACTTTTTTCCCCCTCATGATTCCTATCCCTCATCTTAGATGAAATTGTCATTTTTCATGATTCATTATGCTTTTATAAACACAAAGACAAAGAATAACACGGCCCATACGGTACAGCTCACAGTCACAGTACACAGCGTATGCACAATCAAGTGTAATCTTGTAGGCGAGCGATAATTTCGCTGAGGTAGAGAAAAGGTAATATTAGAATGTAAAGATACATAACAGCATATTCCTACCATTAAAAAGTTTCTTGAGACAGAAAAATGAACTTAAAAATTGAGAAGTTATCCGGCGATCGTACGCCTCCGGTTTGTCAACAATAGATTCTTGTTGCAAGCGCAAGGAAAATCAGCTTTCTTCTTTAGAACAGCTCTCAAAATACTCATAATTTCCATGTTTCCTGTTATGACTGTGTTTATAAAAGAATAATGAATAGTCTACATAAAATGACAATTTTGTCTAAGATGAGGGATTTTAGATCTAGAAATCATGAGGGGAAAAAAGTGTGGCGAGCTGTCCGAAAAGGCACCCCACCCTGGATAACTCGACCGTGGCGAGTTGTCCAGGGTATTGTGGCGAGATGTCCAGGGTATTTTGTCCAGGGGCGAGCTGTCTTTGTGGCGAGTTGTCTGGAATTCACGAATATTTGGTCAATTTTTGTGGTGGCCGGCCGGGTGCTCTAAACTTTCAGAGAGATTTCCTTTTGCTACAGCCACCTACAATTTACAGCATGTGAGTGCTAGGTCTAATTTGGTAAATGAGAAAATAATGAATTGCACAGTTATGGCCAAGCCCAAGAGTCTCACATTGCTTTTACTTTGTAAAGTCCTTCAAACTAAGGCTTCACACACAAATGAAACAACCCTTCTTATCATTCATGAATGCATTTTTTTCTTAAAATCAATATGATTCAAGAAGACTGAAAACAATGTAAGAATAGACAATTATATTCTGTAAAACAGCCAGGAAAAAGACATGTAAATCTGCACAATAGAGCAATTCTAATTCATTCCGATATCCAACTTTCAGCACCCCCACGTATACGAGCGCAGTCGACGTAGCACATCGCGCCAGCCCGCCTGGCCCAGCCGGCTGCCGATGTCCTGATTGTGGTTTGACTCCTACTAGTACTACTACTACGGTACTAGGGCGACTTCCCTTACTGTCGCGGTTCAATATAGACTAAGCGAAATTAAACAGTTAAGAACAATGCAGATAGTATCTGATGATTACTTACATCAACATCAATCTCCAATCGAAAAGTAACTAGATCTACAATGCTCGTATCTGCCTCATAGTTCAAACTTTCCAGTCAGTAGCTCTAAACTTGGGAATCCGTTCTGTGACCTTCGCGACCTCTGGAAGACCACGTGCAAACGTGCGCTGCCGTTCGAGGGGGTTTCCCCTTTTTTACGGCGTGACCGTGTGTACTACTACCCTGTAGCTCGCAGAGTTTGCATATGAATGTCCGGACAACCAGGGAAAACTCACATATCCCTGGGACAACTAGCTCCTTATGTATTACTCTTCGTTTTTCACTTAAATTTATCATATAAGAAACGATCCTTACATGCATATAGTATGACTGTACATGATAATCCTTTCCCATCAATCGTAATCCCATAAAATATTCTGCCAGTCCTTATAATTACTATTTCATTCAATTTCATCTTCTCTAGAACAGATTTCTGATCATTTTATTTTGCTTGTTTGTTGTACCCCTCATTTTAACTTGCAAGACATTTTAGTGCATTTTTGTGTTCTGTTCTATATTTTTCAATTTATCTTCATGCATGCATATATGGCGCATTCCCTTTCTAATTATAGCATATTTCCTCTTAGACCTTTAAACAAATACAAATTCTTCCACGAGCAAGCCCCCAAATATAAATAAAGTTATAAGTAATTAAAGCACATGATGAAAATGGATTAAAACCCCATAGGAAGCCCCTCCCCCCCCCCCCCCCCACACACACAAAAAAAAAAAAAACATTCAAACATAAGCCTGTATATACATTCATCAGTAGACAGTATTAAATCATTACTTCTTTTAATTTTGATATTTGTATCTCTATAATTATAGATTAATTCTCTCTTCTTTGTTTTGTATCTCTCTCTCTTTCCCCTCTTCCCAAGCCTCTCTTCATCTCCACCCCCTCCGTCTCTCTCTCTCCACAATGATTAAATGTATATGATTCTGTATATTTTCTTTTAATTTTTTTTTAATAGTTTCAGCTTATGGGCTGCATAATTCACTTTTATTTTCTCATACTAAACCGATTCAATCTCTCTCTCTCCCTCCCTCTCTCTCTCTCTCTCTCTCTCTCTCTCTCTCTCTCTCTCAATCTTGCATGCCTATAATTATATAGAACGTTTTACTCTGAACTATTTGAGCTATCAGTACAAAATTTATTGGACAATAAGTCTTTTCATACAAGGTTATAAAGGTGTCTTTTATTTTTTATTACATGTATATTTTACAAAGACAAACAGAAGAAGAAAAAAAAGAATGGTTACAAAAACATTTGTACATATAGTCTAATTCATTGGGATTTCTATGGAAAGGAATCATTATATCTATCATGCAACCTCTGCATAGCTGACAGAACATCTCGAGTTAGCATTTGTAAAACTACATGAAATTTCAGACTATAGGAGTTATTATTCTCACATTTAGAATCAAGAGCAGACTAGCTGTTTTAGAAGTCCATTCCATCCAAACATTTAGCGCAGTAGGTTGAGAAATCAGACAAAAAGATATTCTTCCTATTACTGTCCACCCAGCCCCCCCCCCCTCTTTTTCTTTCTCTCTCTGCCTCTCTGTCTATCTATGTATCTGTCTGTATGTTTCTCTCTCTCTTTTCTCTCTCTCTCTCTCGCTCTCTCTCTCTCACTCTCTCACTCTCTCTCTCTTCCTCTTATATCTTTCTCTCCAGGAAGACTATTGCGACACCATGTGACAAAAGTCAAGTACTCCATGAGATAGTTTGGAAGAATATCATGTTTGTACCCCAAGAACAAATGTCACCTGACAAAGTGAAAATAATTGCTCTTTATATGCAAAATATGATGGGAAATAGCTGAGAGGTTTGGACCAAACTTTCATGTGTGTGTAGCCCCATTCACACATTTTGGTGTTCAGTCAGGGCACAGGATTTTGAAGCAAGATTAGGTCAACTTCTTATCATCTTGATGATTCCAAAACATAGCAATATACACCAATACATAAATATAGCTTTCCTAACTGCTTCTGGAAAGTTTCTTTCACAATATAATGCCATGATCACAACACAATATTTTCTTTAGACAGACTGAAGCTCATAGCTCTACATGAAATATGATTTACTTGCAAGATAAGTGATCTTACATGTCCAGGAATGGACATATTTTACATTCAACATTTTATGCTTCCAATCCACATTTTTAAAGATAAGCTTTCAACAATGATATCTAAGTGACGGTGTGCGAAATAGCAAAACATTTCATGAACATATGATATAGATACCCTTAAGTTTGGCATTCTGTGAACAGTCATTCATAACTACAAGCTATGTGACTGTTTGGTTCTCTTGAAAAAGCAAGAGCACATTTTGATGGACAACAATGCAGAAACATGAATAATGTGAGATTTATCAAGGTGTGTCATGGTTTTAAAATAACATTTCCACGACGATTAGTGTTCTCTACGCTGCTCTTCAAAAGATTTTCCAAAATGAGATACAGCTCCATGAGCAATGTATACAATCATCTGCACATAGATGTTGTAGATATACATCACAATGTCCAGAACTAGTTGTAATCCATTCACATACAGCCCTAAAGATGTCCTAATTCTGTACAGTGCAGAACTGATCCATGGTCAATGTGAACAGATCCATGATTTGCAAGCCCTCGTCTGCTCCGTCACACAGCCGTTTGTCGATGACAGCGAGACGCTCAGCGATGGCAGATTTCTGTTTATCGGTCAGCTCACCTCTGTCCACTATGATGTCAAAGATCTGGAGCAAGAGATTCAGAGAGGTTTAGTGGGTCAAGCTAGTCCAAGGTATTTTGTCCCATATGGGTTCCCACATGATTTGTGGAATTATTTCCTATCAGGTGGTGGAAAACCCAGGTTTCATGAATTAAAACACAAGGGCAGCTGTTTTTTTAATATTTTTTAATGTAAATTACAAAAATTAAAGTTATTTCACAATGCTGGACCACTCTCAAAATTTGTATGAGTTTCTGGGTTTACTGGACCCATTCCTACACCTGGGTGGAGAGTGGCAAATGTAGATTAATGTCTTGCTAGACAAAAAATCTCATAGGAGATAAAGATGGGTTGGTTGAGATTTTTTCCTTCTCTTTGCCTCTAAATGAGGTGTTTATTTAATATTCAACAAGAACATAATTTCACAAAAACAATTTAGCAAAACAATGGAACATCAATAATACCCATACTATTTTTTCAGATATAACTTTGCAAATTTGCAGGAGAGTTCATGTTTTGTACTTTCAAATGTTCATAGATGGGTTGGTTAAGACGGTATGGTCAGAAAGGAAAAAAAGGCATTGGCTTCTGAAAGCAATGGATTTCCAGGTTGGGATCAAAACCTTGTTGCAGACCTTACAAAACATGGAAGGAGATGCTAGAAGAAGATATGAGAGCTTCTGGTTTCACCCAGGCGGATGCTGGTAACCAGGGCATTATTTCACAAAACCGTCAGAAGTAAAAGTTTGTGGACATCCCATAGAAACGCATGTTAATTCTATAACACACATTTCAGCAAGATGTCCAAGAGTTTAGACGGCTTCGAGAAACAGCCCCGAGAAGGTTTGGAGAAGGGCCATGAGGGAAATAACATTTCCAACATCATAGGGTGAGAAAAACTGACACTAATCAATGACAATTTTGATGATGTCTGGAGGACTACTAACCTGGTTGACGACCTGTGAAGCTGAGTAGCCACCTTGGAGTAGTTCTTGGACCTTCTCGTCAAGCTTTTCATACGATCCGCCGTAGCAGGCCTGAATCAGATCGTCTATCATCTTGTCTGGGATCACCTGGATATCATAAGAACGAAAAATTGAATCCAAGATTATTTAAAGGTAAAGACTAGTATTCGAAACGCCCAATTTCGAAAAATGAAATGGAAGCTCTTATTACCAATCATGTGAAAGAATATGTTTTGACTAATACATGATGATAACAATTTTGCCGGGAAACCGCCTACTAATTGATATATTTGGTAAATTAGTTTATCTATTGGTATGTGAGAGATAAACGCAAGTGTCGTGCACGTGTCGCGCACATGTGCGTAGTCCCATATACAGTGCTTGTAACTTTATGACAACTGGGCCAAATTTCTTATCATTTTGATGATTCCAGAACCTTGCAGTACACACCAATAATAATATGCTAGATGATCAACCTTTTCTGATCGATTCCACAACGTTTCTTTCACAATGCAATCGCATGACCATAACTGGTCTTTATCTTTAATCTATAAGCTGTTTATTTGAATTTCAAATTATAACATGCACAATTTCTTTCCACTTGTTACTAGTTGTCAAAGTATCAACATGAAGTACAACCCTTTAAATTTCAAGTTTGACCCCCTTTCCCTCTCTATTCAGCCTCCTCAGGACATAACAAATACCAAAATTAAGATCACATTTTTGTAAAAGCTTCCAATTTATGGCAGCTGACACAACTTCATTATTTATCTACTTCCTACCATCACATTTTTGCCAATATCTTTGCAACACAGTATTTACATAGATACCTCTATAAAATTACATTTCCATATCAAAGGTACACTAGCTGTGGTCGGCATTTAGTAAAACCCTGATAAGATTCCTTCCTCACCTGTGAATCACCCCTGCTATCCCGCCGCGGCACTAATGTCCTTTGGCAAGACATTGATCTACATTTGCCACACTCCACCCAGGTGAAGTAAATGGGGACCTGGTAGGAATTTAGTCCTTGAAACGCAGCGCGCGTAACAGGTGCACTGCTAAAGCCAAGGTAACTATGCTGCTTTATTGTAGAGCGCTTGGAGACTTCTGATATAAGCAAAATATAATTATTTTCCTGTAGACAAGTTTTTAATAAGATGCCACCCTCTCGCTGAAGTCCAAGGATGCTCTCTAGGAATGTGATGGAGTTCCTAATTACAATAACAGAGCCCCTTGTCCCTTCCCCTCCCCTCCCCATTGACACCTGTCACTCACCCCTGCAATCTCATAAACATCTTCTACTCGGATGCCATCTTCTCGTTGAAGACGATGAACGCTCTGAAGGAAGGTGATAGATTTCCTCATATCTCCCTCTGACAACTTCAAAATGGCTTCCAAGGCCTGGGGGAGATCAAATGGAGATTACA